TCATTAATTATGGAGTTGAATCAAGGCACTTGTTGATTGCTTCATAATACTCACCAACAATATCAAGGTCCACTTTGTAGTGGATGAGGTGAGTGTGCAGGTTGCCCAGCACGTAGTCGTACACTTTTGTACCATAGTGAAGTCCATTAGGTGTGAAGAAAGTGGCATGGATGTATCCGGTAGCACTGACCTTTACCTCCACCACTCCATTAGGGTAAAACAGGAAGTCCCAGATGTAATCATAGTTGTAAACTGTTGAAGTTGTCCGCAAAACCAGCACGGTGTTCTCCAGACCTCCAAAGAAGTTGTATCCTCCTTGAAAGTTGGAGTTAAAATGCCTCCGGAGGGGCATGGCAGTGGTCATTTCAAAAATACACAAAGCATTTTTGTGGAGTGTGGGTTTGTCTGTGTCAAAGTAATGGTAAAGGTCGACAAAGGTGGCGATCTCTGGGCAGTCAATTCCAGGCGCCAGTTCATAAGTTGAGGTTCCCATTGCCCAGCCTGCGTCGATGTACTTTGTTTGCATGGCAGCAGGAGTATCCCCAGCGTAGAAGGCTATAGCTTCCTGAAGACTGATCTCATAAGCGATCCTCTCTCCATTAAAGCGAAGGTCAAAGACTTGAAGGCCAGCAGACGAGCGAACTCTGTAGGCGAAGGACCACCCAGCGTACTCAACAAAGTTACGATCTATGGAGTAGCGATGTCCCTGGGGCTCAACAAGCTTTGGCCCATGAATATTAGTTGGTGTGTTACTGTGACCTCGAGGGATGTATGTAGAGTAAAGGTCTTCATCGTTGTGATCTGGCAGTTTCAGCTTCTCCACTTCTCCCGATTCATACTTCTCTACCAGCTCCTCAACACTGTCAAAATACATGCTGTTGTACCAGACCTTCTCAACCACCCACTTTTCTGGATCTAGATCCCGATGGTTGACCAATACTTCAAATCCTATTGGATGAATGAAATAACCTTCTACAAACTTCTGCAGCATGATCCATGTCCTTCTTTCACCTGGAGCAAGGCCTCGGGGAGCGATGTCTGAGAACGTCAGGCAGCGGTTGGAGCAGTTTGTGTAAGAAAAGCCTCCTGTAGTCTCAAAAAGAAGCTTGTAAGCTTGAACTGCAATCTTCTTCAGGAGGTTTTCAATGTGGTCATACTCAACAACGGTGATCGGCCGGGACTCAAATTGGACCGGTTTCTTTCCCTTAAAGGTTCTGACTTCGTGAGACCTTGGGGATGGAAGCGGTCCCACAATGTACTCTGTGATGTTCGGTGTGGTCTGGTTCCCAAACTGGATGATCGCTCGAGCTTGGCGGGGGGGTCTGGCCTGACCGCGGTCCAGTGCTCTCAGGGCCTCATGTTTCTTCGGCAAGTGGAGTTCTATCAGTAGGATACTGTTTTTCTTCAGAATTGTACTTCGAGGATCTGTCAGTTTCATCTCTGGAATGCCGTGCAGGTAGGATCGGACGGCTTTCATCTCCTGCACAGTGAGGTCGGCAAACATTGGGGCACCATGGTGAGCCCACTCTCTGGTTCTGGCAGCACTGAAGGCAACCAAACAGGCCAGCTGCAGCATGCAGAGAACCTTCATGGCTGAAATACAATAAGAAAATGACATCCTGAATCCATGAACATCTTGCCATACTCAAACGTTTAATTGTAGCAAATTTATTTTCACTCACATTCAGTTCAGATCATCATTATTGCAAAAATTTCTAACTGCCTAATTTATGTACTTCATTTCAGAATTAGCATAATCCTTACCCCATTATTTTAACTGGTTTTCAATGTCAGTCTGTCCCTCTAACAGAACGCAAACAGTATTGTCCAGAGTACTAAAGACGTCTCGGCCAACTTTGTCCTGACTGTCTATCGCAAACAGCAGCAGGACAACTACTCACTTTACTCTACTACTAAGTCTGTATATTTTTTCTCAGTTTTCAAGGTGCAAAACCCTTTCAGCTTTGGTCTCAGGATGAGCTCATACAATAGCCTTCATGTACCTTTGACATGCAGATGTAGAAATGTGACCCATGCAGTGTTAAAAAAATATATATATATATTACTTGCAGTGTTAAAAAATATATATATATATATATTACTTGCAGTTTTCCCTCAATTGCTGTAGGACAGGTTTGTCCAGTTGTCCAGGTTCAGCAGCTGTTCGGAAGTCTGTGGTCCAGTTGAGAAGCAAAGCTGATTGTCTGTCTGCAGCCCTTCTTGGCCAAGACTTCGAGTGATTGATTTGCAGATGGTCGTAAAATATGACGAAATACTTAATAAGCGTCCAAAAGGCACCATAAGCATGAAACGGTCTTCTTTCAGGAGCAAAAAAAAAAAAGAATATTTGAAAGATGGATGGAAGAAATAATTTAACACAGTTAAATTATAAATCAATTCAAAAATACTTTTTTCATCCCAAATGGAAATTAATTGTTATTTTGCTTGGGAAAACATGTGTCCTGAAGCAGATCAGTAATATTCCAATAAGAACAATCTTTTGCACCTTTTTTTTCTTTTCATTTTGATCATTTATGACAAACAATAACAAGTACAAAAACAACACTCAGCGTGCAGCATCATGCTGACACATCACAATCATCAGCAGACCTGCAAAACAGACTCATAAGAAAAAACTGAGAACACTTACACGTTTGAGAAAGTCCAGTTGTGTGTGCATCCAGGTTATTAGGCTAGAATTTCCCAGTGCAAATGATGTAAGACATGAAGCCAATAAGTTAGTCAAACACTTAAGTAAAAAAAGGTCAGGATATATAATCTATTATATATTCTCATATCCCTTTCCAAATTATTCTTAACCCATGCCTACGCTTTTGTGACGTGGCTGTAGAGGTATTCATTGATAATTGTTCATTGATTTCTAAAGACAGGCCACTTAGAGATTCCATGAATATATAAAACTGGTTAAACTTCTCAACCTGTACAAAGCTATTTTGATTTTTGAGTATTTGACGTGTGAACATTTTTTTCAATTCATGGCTTCAGACAGGATTTTGGTGTCACATATTATTAAAGACTTTATTTGATATAATGCTCTTTGAGATTGAAATTGACCTGGTTTTAAGATATGTGATTTGTTGAGGTTCTTACAAATGGGGTTAATTGTCCTTTAATGCATGATCCATGAAGTAATTTCCTGCAACATTTTCAATGTGGTTGTATCATGGATGGTCCGTCTGGCCCAGGGGCAAACTGTCGTAACTGAACCTTGGCTCATTGCTTTCATTTTATGACCCTCCAGTAAAAGAAAAAAAAAGCAAATTTAAGTTAACCATTAAATATTTTTATCTGCAGATATGATAAAGGAATTGTTCAGAACAGGTGAACATTAGCAGATTTACTGTACTTTGTCTTTAGCTGTTTGTATTTTTTCCCATGTAACTGAGACTTCCAACATTTCCATTTTTCATTCTGTGATGGATGAAACAACCAATTCATCAGGTGAACTGACTCAACAGCTTCTTGAAAAAGTTACTCAGTTAATCACATGGAGGCATGTGAAAACTTTTAGACATCTAAAAATGTCTTCTGAAATTGAAATGGAGCACTAAAATGATGAACAGAGCAGATTTACAGTAGGTTGCTGGTTGAAACCTACTCAGTACATCTTAGTGGTCAGAGGGTCCATTGTTCTGATGCCTAGTTTATGCCAGACTGGTTCAGGGCAGTAGCTCACCATCACTGCATGAATGACTGAAAGTAGTGTGAAGTGCCTTGGGGTCTTCTGGACTTAATGAAATACTCTACCACTACAGAGCATTTACCAAACTGCACCCAAATCCACCACCTACCAAATGATTAAGAATTTCAAATAGGTAGGTTTAGCCTCAGTGAAGAAAGCTTTCAGTATGGGACAGGACAGCCAACGTATGGGCTTGTTGTGCTAAGGAGCTTCTGATGTTGCTTCACAACCAAACCCTGCTGGAGACGTCCTTGGTTGTCATGATGCTGTTGGTCCTTTGATATTCCCTTATGAGTGAAGAGCTGAGGATAGAAATGTTTGGCACCCTGTTAGAAAAAAATCCCAATGAAATACATCGAGGTGTGTTGCAGTACGCTGAAATAAAATGTGAAAAAGTTTTAGAAGTAAACATACATCTTCTAAGGCCAAATGAAAATTTGCTTATGATTAACTTAGCAAATATACCCATGGTGACCATAGTAGTTGAATTCATATTCTATGTGACTCTCTGTTACAGAACACCAGATTCATATGATTGCATGACCTTACCTGCATGCCAGTAACAGCTAACAGAAGCCAGTTAATCACACTCTGATTCCCCCCAGGCAAGAGGGAAACACCTAAAACTCTCAGGGCAGTGGCCCCTGAGGACCGGAGCTGAGTTTGTATTTCTGATTTGTTCTCTCAGTGTCTCATCAGAACCACTGACTCAACTCATTATCTGTACCAATATACCGACTGCTGCTGTCTGACAGTGAGATTAGCGTACATGTACACAACCTGCCAGCTCTGTGGCAGAACCTCCAGGTAGCATCATTACTGCTGCTTCTCTTTTCTTTTGTTACTGTGGTCACAGCTGTGCTTGAGTCTCCTTTCACTCCCATCAGGAGGTCAATAGTTAGTATACTGCTGATTCTGAAAGCTTTGCACCTTCACGTCTGCTGCCACGTTTGACTGAATAAATGACCCCATCATCCTTCAAGAAACACCTTTCTTTACGCGATTAAGCTCAGACAAGCATCTCTTTGTTCTGCAGCTGAGGCTCCGCCGCCACACTAACATCGGCACCCCCATAGCTTTGGTTGGTGTTAAATCAGAGGCGCTTAGGTCACAGGTTCAGTGTCCAATACCTGAGTTCCCAGCTGTTACCCTGACCCTCGTGTCCAATGGCAGCTGGCTGAAATGCCACTGTACATCCCATGGGTCACCCCCACACTCAAAACCCCCACGAGTTCAGCTCTGCCACATCTCACTCCACAAAGTTTTTATTACTCTCAATCCAGGAAGAGCAAGGAAAAGAAAAACAACAGACATATTGACAGCGTTTTTGAGAGGAATGAACTTTTAAACATTATCCCACGCTTGTTCTTTTAGGTGAGTGTTCCTTTTTATTAACGTACGAAGACGTGAACTGTTTTATTGCCTCAGTTGGTGTTATGTATTCTGTCTCTGTATAAAATTAATTGACCTGCTTACAACTCTTCACCAGGCTGTAAACCTTTCGGCGTTTTATGGTTTTATGTCTTGAACTGTGCAAATTTTTTTTTGTGTGTTTTATCTCGGGGAGACTATTAATGCTGTGAAATTTATGATAGAATTTCAATTTAAGAATGCAACAATGGAACATGAAAACATGTCATCTTTCCATAGAAGCTGTAAAGCCAAACATTGTGAAGATGAACTTGGAAGCAGGTCTTGTGGTTCTGCTGGGTCTGCGGCTGGCGGTGGGAGCTGGGTGAGTTCCAGCGGAGCTCCTGCTTCCTGAACAACAAACATCAACAAACATTTTAACCAATGTTCTTAAGCCAGAAAAGTGTTTTACAAAAGGTGACATTATTTTGCAAAAACAAATTAGTAACGTAATACTATCCCATTATTTCATCAACTTGTATTCTAGATCTTTAGCTGAAAAACAGCTACTTGCCATTAAACGTTGCAGTTTTTGTTCTTTTTTCTTTAGCAACACTTTAAAATATTAATACATACAAAAAAATGACCCAATAAAATACAATACAGATGATAAAACTTCTTGCTTTTTGTTCCAGATTTTTGAACTGGCAGTTCTCTTGACTGAAACTTTTTGCTTTGCTTTTTATGGCTACAAATATACAGATTTTATTGAAGATATTATGGCTTATTTAGAAATTGTTCCCATGTCTTTGAAATTTAGGCTTAAAGATGTTTGTTAAAGAAATGTTTCCTCTGGCTGGAAGGGACATTGACTCTTGACATTGCCCAGTTGGTCATTCTTACTGTCTGATAATGTCTTTGGTATCAAAAAAGACTTTTCTGCTTATTATTGAGAAAAATTCCAAAATCAAATTCATAAAAAAGCTTTAAGAATAAATAAATATATGATAAGTAGGGTACTACCTTTATGTAGTTGTTCTTTAATGACTCTAGATTTCAGTCATTAAAAACGTCCTTGGTTAAAAAGCAGAACATAAAAAAATAAAAAAAAATCTGGAAATCCTGGCTTTAACCCTTTATCTCCCATTGCAGACACTGGTGTGAACATGTGGTGGAAGACAGAGTGGAGTGGGTTCTGTCCCCACGGCTGCAGCTGGAAGTGGGCTGCTCTGAAGTGTACCAGTACAACACACAGGGATGGAGGCTGGATGTGGACAGGATGCGCACCGCGCATGGAGGGGACGACGGAATCGCTCAATATTACAAACAGCAGGGACAGACGGCGTCCTGCTTCTTGTACAAGTAAGCCAAAGAGAAGGTTCTTGAAAACTTCATGTCGTGTGAAAATATAATGTGTAAGGGTAACACTTTATTTGACGGGTTGTGAATAAGACTGTCTCAGGTTGATTCCATAACATGCAGCATGACACACATCTAGTTGTTAACCACTTATCATTCATGGGAAAACTACTTTTTTATTCATGCAGCTCATCTTTGAAATAAAAATTAGTTTGATGATCTAAAATATTTATTTGTGACACAAATGCAAAGTGAGAAAATCATGATTTTTTTTTTTGAGTGAGGCTGTTCATTTGTTCTGAATTTGTTTGAAATTCTCTCTGAAATAATAATAATAGTAAAAATGATTATAACATATAAACACTAATTGTTTCTCTGTTAGTTAATAAGCGAATAGTTTCAGTAGAAAGAAATTCTTCCTTGTAGATATAAACCTGTACATTGTGGTTTAGTTTGCACGTGTTTCTGTCCTCAGACCGCCGGAGATGGAGAGCCGAGCCGTGAATAAGACGGTGAGGACCTGCTGTGAGGGGTGGGCAGGACCTCACTGCTCTCAGGGTAAGAGAAGAGACCACTGGCCTGTCTGCTTCTACATGATGCCATGACAGGAGTAAATGAAGTCAATAAAAATGTGTTAAGATTTTAACAAACGAACAAAAAAGCACAAAATAACAGTTAAAAGTTGGGCAAAATCTGCTGTCAAAATGACCACAAGGGCTACATGTTCATCTTTCGTTTCCTTTGACTCTCAGGTGTTGGGGTGCGTGGTCGGTGCTATTCCACGTGGAACTGTGAGAAATTCCCAGGAGTTCATAACTCCTCGCTCATGCCGATGGAGCAATGCTGCAGCACCCTGTGGGGACTGAGCTGGAAGAACGCCTCGGACCAAACCTGTTTGACTTGCACCTTCACTCTGCTGCCAGGTCTGAAGCAGCTACACTGGGAAAACACACCACAGGAATGGAACATTACAAAGCCATGTGAAGGATGTCTGACATGCAGTGCCTCTCTACCTCATCTCTAGACTCCCAGTCCTCTCCTCTGGTGCGGAGTGGACTGCTGGGTACCGCCAGGGTTCCCCTGGGCTCGGCCACATGCATGTCTTGGGGAGGAGCCCACTATCGCACTTTTGACAGGAAGCACTTCCACTTCCAGGGAAGCTGCACGTACCTGCTGGCCTCGTCTACCGATGGCACCTGGGCAGTCTACATCAGTACAATCTGTGACCAGAGAGGAGACTGTAACAAGGTGATTCAAACCCATCCTGTAGTAGAGGATGTTTTGTATGTCGGCACGAAGCACATCTTTGGACAACATACAAATAATCAAATATCTGTTCCAATATCATTCCAGGCGCTGAGGATGATGCTGGGTCTGGATTTGGTTTCTATTCATCATAAAAATGTAACACTGAACAGCCTGCCTGTTCCGAATGGCGAGCCACTCTTTCAAAATGGTAAGACAATTATTAGAAAATCAATCATTTTCTGGCTCTATGTGGAAAATCTAATCTTCTGAACTTCATAACTGGTTGAACCACCATTTGCAGCAACGAGTCATCAAGTATTTGCAGTAAAACGATTAAAAGGCTTTTAAACCACTGTGGAAGAATTCTGGTTCACTCTTTGAGGTAGAATTCATCCCACTGGAGTGTCACATGGGGAAGTTATAAACAGGTTTATACGACTCTTTCTTCTTAATAAGTGAATTCATCATTTGAAACATGACAAAATAGAGAAAGAAAATGGAAGTCATGAGATACGGGAAACCATTGTAAAATCTTTTGTCGTAAATAACAAGCAAGTCTTTTAGTTTTCTCTCCATTTTGATGAAGGAATGTCATTCTCAAGATTTTGGAATCAAACAAAAGTTGAGAGAGGTGGAGCGTCGGCCATGTATGTTAATGTTGAAGAAGACACCCAAACTTGGCTACCAGTTTCCATGGTAGCCAACTGGACAATGGATGGAAGCTGACCTTGTGACCTTTAACCTCTATTCAAACATTAATTGATATGGACATACAGTTACACGACCTGCAGACTCAGAGAGTCAGTCAAAACCAGAAGTAGCACTTATAGCTGTATGTGCTTCCCTAAGTTCCCTAAGTTGTATCATGTGGTCAGTCTTCCTCTTGGCCCGGTTTCCCACCATTCAACCTTGCGTATTGGTATTTGTGAAAATGCTTTTTTTAATTATTATTATTTTTACTGTTAATCAAAAGTTATGCATTTCGCTTACATGAAGAGTTTTTCTCTTTGCCTTTAGGAGTGAGCGTCTATTGGCTTGGGGACTATGTGTTTGTGGAGAGTGGGGTGGGGGTCAGGGTGAAGTTCGACATGGTCAACACGGTGTATGTGACGGTGACCTCTGAGCAGCTGGGAACCACCAGGGGACTCTGTGGAGTCTTTAACAACAATGCTGATGGTAAGAGGACCCACATGCATGTTCACCACGCTGTGCTGCAGTTTTCCACTTTGTTTGGTTTCTCTGGGTACATTTGAATTGCTGTCTGTATAAATGATCACAGATGATTTCACCACGGTGGCTGGAGCCGTTTCTTCATACGCTGCCAGTTTTGGCAACTCGTGGAAAATTCCAGACCAGCACAACGAGGTTCTGTCATTCAAACATTTCTTCTGAGAGTCTTCACCGCTTTCATTTTTCAGTTTTCTTTGGCTCTTTCTACTAAGTTATGATGCTTTTTTGGTTGACATCAAAAATTTTACAAATACAGCTTTAGTTGTCTAAATGTTCTTCACATGTGGGGCCGTACTGACTGAGGCTGGTTATTCGACCATCAGGACTGCAGTGATGCAGCTGAGCTTGGCCACAGCTGTGATGTCACAGGAGATCCGGCTCTACAGCGGCAGGCAGAAGCAGTGTGTCGTCAGCTGCTGGAAAAACCCTTCACACACTGCCACAGCCAGGTCAGAAACTCGGGAAATGAAGTGAAGACACACACTCATCAGAACGTCGCGGGCTACTTCTGATCTCCAGGTTTTACAAAGCTTTGGCCTGGTGATGATGAGTTTCACCAGATTAGCTTTTTCTTCAATAACAATACACACTTCACACAGATCTTGTATTTTATCATCCTGGTCGCTGTTGGATTCTAACCTGAAACAGTCTTTTTCTCACCTGATCAACTGTTTTAGATCATTACCTAAAAGAACCTGGAAACAGACAAGAGTTTAAAAAAAAATATATATATATTTCTCCATAGAGAGGAGACTCATTGCTGGTGTTGATCACCTGAAAATTTCTGCTTCTAAAAATTGTCCACATTTCCAAATCCTACATACTAATCATGATTAAGAAAAATAAGCATCCTCAAACATTAATTTTTGTCTAATAAATCTATATATGATGTCAAAATTCTTCAAACATATTAAGTGGGTGATGGTACATACAAATCCCTTGTACATGTGAAAGGAAAACTTTGAGAATGGGTTCTCCTTTGCTCTGTCTGGTCACTAACTGGGGCAAGTTAGAAGAAACATTTTGGTGAAATTAATCGACTACTATGTTAAAAATGTTCTAGTTAAATGTCTTTAACTCACAGGTGGATCCAGGAGCCTACATGGACACCTGTCAGTATCTGTACTGCAGCCTCTCACCCAAAGAGAGGCAGGAAGCAGTGTGTGACACGCTGGCCAGCTACGCCCGGGAATGTGCTGAACAACACATCATCATAATGTGGAGGACCGCAACAATATGTGGTGCAGAAATATAGGATATTTGACTTAGAGACAAAAACTGGGAATGTTATTATGCTCCTCCATCAAGTGATGCAAAAGCAGCAGTTTGGTTTGACTGTGTTTTTTTCAAAATGCCCCTTGTCCCCCCAGACCGTGTCTGCCCCAGAGGACGGGTCTTTTCAGACTGCGTGTCCTCCTGTCCTCCGAGCTGCTCCTCACCTCACCGCCCGGGACCTGCTGCAGCTGTGAGTCGGTGCAGAGAGGAGTGTGTGGGGGGCTGCGAGTGTCCTCCTGATCGCTACCTTCACCAGGGTCTCTGTTTGAAAAGAGAAGACTGTCCCTGTTTCCACCGCAGGCACACCTACCAGCCTGGGGACAGGATACAGATGAGATGCAACACCTGGTGAGAAACGACTCCACTTGTCCTGCAACAGCATCCCAAAAAGCCTTGTGCACGTTCTCATTCTGATCCTCCATAATGTCTCCCTTCTTCCCCCAGTGTGTGCAGGGCAGGTCAGTGGGAGTGTACAGGAGAGAAGTGTGCTGGCCAGTGCACTCTGATGGGGGCATTGCAGGTGACCACATTTGACAAAAAATGGTATGCACTGCCTGGAGGAGACTGTCCTTTCATCGCTGTGGAGGTGAGACACAAACGACAGTGCACACAGTGACGCATGCTAAGACCTTTGGGTGGGTGCTGATTGCTGTTTGCTCCCGTTTTTGTGTCCAGGACTTTGTGGACAGGAAGTTGGTGGTGAGAGTGCGTTGTGGAGAGTGTGCATCTGAGGATGGGGCGGGGGGAGGAGAAATGGGGTGTTTAAAGGAGATAACAGTGACGGCTCTGCACACAACAGTCACCGTTACACGCACTGGTGAGTTGCAACTCCTAAAAAGTTGTCAGGAATTGGCATAAATATGTCATGATGTTGAAAATGTTGACTAACTGAGTAACTGTAAGGAACTAAATATGAATAACAGAATTATCTGTAGTAAAACTAGATGTTGGTGAACACAGAAAACAAATGTTCAAGTTGAGTTTAGGAAATAAGCAGACTTAAGAGTTTTCTCTTCTTGGAAAGAAAATGTGCAGAAGTAGGGCTGGATAAAGACCTTTGCTCAGTACTGCTTGTTCCCTGGATAAGGCAGCCATAGAGAAACACACAACAATTGAGGGGTGTGATAAGAAGGTGTTTCACTGATAAACTTTACTGATTGTGCCAGAGTAGATTCTTACTTGGTCTTTTCATATCTAGGTACATTCACTTTCACCATTCACATAGTTTCATTCTCAGACATCAGTCACTAAGCAAGCTATATTTCACACCAAACAAGCATTTTTTCTCAGATTTGATGCGACTCTAGCAAATGTTCTTTGCCAGTTTCTGCTCCTCTTGCTGACAAATCTCATTCTCTTGGATCTGTTCTCTCTGTGGAATGTGTGAGAGGGCAAATGAGTAATCCTGCTGTCAGATGGAAAACAAATGCTTCTGATGTGTGTGTGAGAAGTCTATTTATCTTTGGTTTGCTCCCAGTTACACATCCAAAGCCTTGTGACTGCCCCTTACATTGATGTGTCTATTAGCAGGTCAATAATTAGAGCCCATTGCAGACACCCAGTCGTGCTGAGTATGAATGGCTTGGAGAGTTTGATATGTTGCCAGTTCATTACCGGGAAACACAAAGACACACAGGACAAACAACCATACACACACACTAAGGACAATTTAGATAGATCAAGTATCCTAGCATATATTTTTTACTTGTTGAAGAAAACAGGTACCTCAAGTAGACACACATTCATTTAGATATGCAAATAGTAAATTACCTGTATTTTTAAAGCATTTCATCAAGTCCAGAGGAAACAAAAGCTCTCCACACTATGTCCAGTAAGTCATCCATTCACAATGCTGATGGTGGTAAGCTACATTGTATCCACAGCTGGCTTGGGGCAGTGTGATAGAAGTGAGGCTGCCATGAATCAGACCCACTGGGTCCTCTGACCAACTGGCAAAGTGGGTGATGTGTCTTGCTCGAGGACACAATGTCTTTGACAGACGGAGCGGGGGTTTGAACCTGTGGCCCGGTTGCAGAAAGGACTTCTACTATCTGAGCCTCCCAAAACCAATGCTTTAGGACAGAATTGTTCTTTTTAGGCACTGTGACTCTGAATGGCCAAAGGGAGATGATGCCTGTGATGACTGGAGACCTGGTGTTGCGCAAGGCCACCTCTTCATTCATCGTCATCCAGACTTTTGGAGCCCAACTTCTATGGTACTTAGATGGATCCTTTACCCTCATCAGCCTACAGCCTGGTTTTGCCAACAAGGTGATACTGAGATTCTTTCTTAGACGTCCACTTCTAGAAAAAACAGATTCCTGAATGCTTATTTGGTTACCTGCTTGAAGAAAAAACTTACTTTCTAAGCTGTCATGTTTATGTGAATGTTCTGTTAGCAGTGGTGAATGGATGCACATGTTGTGTTTAAGGTGCGTGGTCTATGTGGAACTCTGACTTGGAGCCAGCATGATGACTTTACCACGCCAGAGGGAGATGTGGAGAACAATGTTTTATCCTTCGCAGAGAAATTCACAAGTGAGCCCTGCACCCTGCCTGGAGGAACTCCAGCTGATCCCTGCTCCACATACACCCAGAGGAGAATCTACGCCCAAACAGTGTGTGCCATCATACATAGCCCTGTCTTTCAGGTGAGTGTGTACAAAGAGAGTTTTGTCTTCCCAGCTCTCTCTACTTGATTAAACAATCGTCACACCTCCACCCTGCAGGTGTGTCATGATGTGGTGGACAGGGAGCCATATTTCCGTCTCTGCCTGTCGGAGGTGTGTGGTTGTGTTCCACAGAGGACATCATGTCACTGTACCGTCCTCACTGCCTACAGCCGACTCTGCGCTCAGGAGGGCGTCACAGTTCAGTGGCGGAACCAAACTCTCTGCCGTAAGATGGTCCCTCTTATAAAAGATGACTTATTTACAGTTCAACTTGTCTGAACAAAAACACACACAATTGGTACCTCTAACTAAGTTGCCCACTCATTATTTAAAACAATTGTTTGCCTCCCAGATGCATGTGTGTTGAAAGTAGATCTCTTCCTACCCAGCGGTCCAGTGCTCAGGGGGCCAGGTGTACCAGGAGTGCGGTCGTGCCTGTGGTGGCTCCTGCTCAGACCAGCATCAGGGCTGGAGCTGTGACCAGTTCAGCTCTGAGACAGGACGCAGCATGTGTGTTTCAGGTTGTCAGTGTCCAGCAGGACTTGTGCAGGACCAGCAAGGCCAGTGTGTGCCTATCTCTCTGTGCCGCTGCATGGAAGGAGACAAGCTGTATCCAGCAGGCACTGTGGTCCAGAAAGGCTGCAACACTTGGTAGGTAGAGAGGTGAAGGAAATTACACAAATTATGTCAAGTCAGATGTTTCTTAAATCATGCCTAAGCCAGAACAACAATGGTCCGTTATTGGGAAAGAGTCATGATCCAAGAAAAATAAGGCCAAATCAACATAGAGATGGTTCACCAGACACAATATATTTATTCCAGTGTCATCATAGTGCCCAAACCTGCAGTCAACTGAGGCAGTTGGGTCATTTATTAATCATTTCTGAGTTTCAGATCCATCATTTTGTTGATTCACTTTTGTAATTTTTTACAAAAATGAATAAATGCTAAATGTACATTTACATTAAATCTAATACGGGTATTATTTAGCTCCCTATTTATGATGACCAAAAAACACAGTAGACTAGCTCAATATCAATATATCAAAGAAGGAGAAAGACACCATAGAAGTCCTGATTACTGACTTATGTGGTTCTATATCTGATATGTAAGAGCATATCAGAAAATCAACGACTTTCTGACATGTTGAGTTTATATGTGCCGCTTTCACCATCTGATGGTGGAGACGAGGTGTGGAAGTTTAGCTAGAATTAAACATGAAACTTGAATGTGACACTGAAAAGATGTTTTCAAACGAATGCTTCTTGTGCCGATAAAAGTAAAACAAAACTGTGTGAAATGTTTCCATTAGAGCATCGATCTCCTTCACAGTTTGAAGAAACATTCTGTCTCAAGAGGAGACCCTGTGGTGAGAGAGCTCTGATGAAATCACTCTATGATCCTGCTCCCTGGTCCAGGATAGGTTGATTTCATTGCATTTCTTCACCACATCACAACGCGTGCAGTTTCCTCAAACTGCCCTCTTAAAGCCGCCTGATCTGATATCTACGCTAAGCTCTATGTGCAGTAGACATTGTCTTTCGACTGCCGACAGCAATCTGTCTGTTGAGCTGACTCACTGTACTGCGAAATGGCTAATGATTCCATAGATAAAACCATATATAGTCAATGCCTTGAGCAACACTTCTTGGTAGCAAAAGGATCGTAATAAAAGTGAAGCACGTTTTGTTGACATGAAAATTTATGGACGTGTCGTAAACCTGACTGAGAGAGCAGAAATGTAGCAAGCATGACAGATCAGGAATGCATTTCAAGCCACTCAGCAGGTTTATCTGGAAATATTTTTCTGTGTCACATGCAGAACTTGCAGTTTTCAGATAACTTTTAAAACGTTCGTGAACAGCTGACATTATTCTCCCTTGTGTTCCAGCGTGTGTGAGCAGGGAGTGTTTAACTGCACCCAGGAGCTCTGTGAGGAGGTACAACTGTGCCCCCACTCTCTGGTCTACTCTCCACGCTCCTGCCTCCTGACCTGCTCCAGTCTGGCGCCTCCTGGCCATCAGTCTGTGTCCAGCGTCTCACAGTCCAGCTGCAGGGAGCCGCTGTCTGGCTGCGTCTGTCCTCAGGGAACTGTCTCTCTAGTAGGTGAAAATTCACTTGCTAAATGGGGCAGAGATAAGCAGCTGGTCGTCCATCACCTTGCAAAAGTATGAAAGAAGGCCGATGCTGCCACCGCCGTGTTCTATTTGATGGACGTTGTGGAGATTATTGTAGTTTCACTTTTCCCCCACATTCAGGAGACTGCATGTCTGAACAAAATGATTAATTTTACGTCACAAGATCGCCATTCACAACTTGGAACTTGGAACTGGGACTATAAAAATGTGTTTAAAAAAACAATGGAAATGTCACCATGTACATGTTCACATGTGCTTGCTTTTGAGAGAGGGAGTAATTACCGTACGTGAATTGCAAAAACTCAGCAAGTAGATCCCAGTTAAATAGTTCAGAATAAGACAGTAAAGCAGGCGAAAGCTTTTAAAGCTGCTTTCGTTCTGCTATAGATTTTCTGTCAGGGTTCCGGGGTGTTTTAGATTTGCTTTTTATTCTACAGTTCTGATTTAGTATATATTCTTATTTTGGTTCAGATCAGCCTGTTTCTGTTTTCTTTTGGTTCAGTACTGTCTTAGTTGCTAGTCATGTTTCTTATGCTTAGTCGTTCTTTAGAGGTAAATTCATTTCTTAGTTCCAGTGTTTCTGTCTCTCCTCTCACACCTGCCACCTGTTAGCTGATTAGCTCTTTCTGCTTATGTATCATTTCTATTCCTTTGAACCAGAATGGAATAAACAAGTTGCAAAGTCTTCTCTTCACTCAGGCAGATTGCTCTAATCCCTCCATTAACTCCTAACATAGAAAAGTCCAAATTTAACTTGAGGCAAATTTGAATAAAGATGAAGCTACTGAAGTTAACACAATAAAAAGTGTAAATGAATAAAGCACATAGCTCTACTGGTAGGATGGCCCTGGAGACATGGCAGGAATCATCTGTGCTCTCAACTCTGCCTCTTCACATGTTTCAGGAGGATCGCTGTGTTCCACCAGAGGAGTGTCCATGTCACCACAACGGCCAGCTTTATTACACCAATGACACCATCACTAAAGACTGCAACACATGGTAACATCTACAGCTGTGGGTTGGCATCGCCACCCTGCAACTCCACCAAACAAAGTTTTTTCCCCCCCCTGCAGTGTGTGTAAGGAGCGGCGCTGGCACTGCACCCAGACTGTCTGTGCTGGTGTGTGCGTTGCCACCGGAGATCCGCACTATGTGACTTTTGACGGCCGCTGCTACTCGTTCCTGGGTGACTGCCAGTACGTGCTGGCCCGGGAAAACAGCGGCTTGTTCAGCGTGACGGCAGAGAACGTGCCGTGTGGCAGCACTGGGGTCACCTGCACCAAGTCTGTCACCCTGAGCCTCGGAAACACGGTCATACACCTACTGAGAGGTAGCACACAGACACACACACACACAGACACACACACACACACACACACACACACACACACACACACACACACACACACACACACACACACACACACACACACACACACACACACACACACACACACGCATGTTTACGTGAGGAGGACACCAGGTGATTTTTTTAAGACCTTTGCTCATCACTGATCTCCCAATAGTAAGGAAATTGGTGCCAATAAATTGACTGGCACCTCTAGTAATATCTCATATTATCATTCTCAAAAGGCATCACTGCAGCCTTTTCAGGATTGGTCATGTCTGTGTTTATACATTGGTGAAATGACCAATAAGAGCGCCTTTGTTTGTTTGATTCTAACTTTTAAACTTGAATTCAAGGATTTCTTAAAAAAAAAAAAACACTTTGTAACTTTCAGTGGACAGCTTTTTCCATCACATTTAAGACTATTTTAGAGGGAAATGTACAGAATATGCATCTTTTTCATCAGAATATATTTCCTAGGAAGCATGAAGGTAGTTTGGTGACTTAGCACATCTCGTCTGTGGCCTTCAGGTAAAGCAGTGACGGTGAACGGAATGCCTGTTTCCTTACCAAAGTCCTACAGCGGCAGTGGTCTGGCTCTGGAGAGAGCAGGCATATTTGTCGCTCTCTCTTCCCGACTAGGAATCACCTTGCTCTGGGATGGAGGTAGGCCGACTTCCAGATCAGGGTTTTCTTTCTCACATTTGCCATGATGCCTGTAATAGTTCTTGGTGTTTGCTATTGACGTTCATCCTGTGTTGTTGCTTTTTTGTTTCCACCAGGGATGCGTGTGTATGTGCGCTTGGCACCTCACCTGCGGGGTCAGGTGGAAGGGCTGTGCGGGAACTTTGACGGAGACACAGAGAACGACTTCACAACACGCCAAGGAATCATGGAGTCCACGCCGGAGCTGTTTGGAAATTCGTGGAAGGTCAGCCCTTCCTGCCCCGACGTGGAAAACCAGGACCTCAGAGATCCCTGCGCTGTAAGTTCACCATGGACATCCGTCTGTGTGGTCATTCTGGCAGTGGCACAAAGCATCGCTGATGACGGTTGTTGCCTTCTCAGCTGAATCCCCACAGAGTGACCTGGGCCAGGAAGAGGTGTGCAGTGCTGACTCAGGAGCTGTTTTCGCGCTGCCATGCTGAGGTTTCCTTCCAGCAGTATTATGACTGGTGTGTCTTTGATGCTTGTGGGTGAGTGACACCACTAATCACAGCGTTATGGCTTTGAGATCTGCATTGTGCATCTAGTAGTTCTGCTGCCATGCAAGCAAAAAACACAAAAACAAACTGAGTTTGCACTCCAGATTATTTTTATTATTTGGAGAGTTTTTATGTTTTGTTTGGTTTTGCGGTCCATATTTTGTAATACCTTCAAGGTTGAGCATGTGTTTTGTTTGCTCCCGCTGGCGTGTTCAGCTGTGACTCCGGTGGGGACTGTGAATGTCTCTGCACAGCTGTTGCTTCATATGCAGAGGAGTGCAGCCGCAGAGGAGTCTACATCCGCTGGAGGTCTCAGGATCTCTGCCGTACGTCACACCAAACACTCCCCAAATGTCAGAAAACACCTCTTAAAACTACACAAATTAAATTAAAATAACATTTTAATAGTAATTTTTTTCATGGCAATATGGAGAACATGAGACTGTTTTTCAGCTCTACTTACCGTTTAATGGAGGAAGTGAACGAAACTAATTGATCACTGCTATTAAGAAATGTCTTCATTGATTACCAATTTTGTTCTTAAAATGTCAGAAATTAATTTTAAAGAGCTTTGAGCTTTTCACATATTCAGATGAAAGTAGTAAGTTGAGTAGGAAGAACATGTTTTTTTCATTTAATAGCGTAATAATTCTGTACAAAATGTCATCAATTTAGTCAGAATATCAGATTTCTCTAAGTCAAATTGGAGTATAAATCTGACCTTATTGAGTGAAATGCATGTCATTTGTGGATTCAGCGGTGCAAAATGGTCCAAATTTTGCATAGACAACTTCCATAAAATATCTTTTTGTAACCCAGTGTAGCAGCCTGATAATTGAGCACATATAGATGTTCTCCTAAGAAAGTCAGAACCTCACTTTTAGTGTCTTTTTTAGTTTAGCGCTCATGTTTGAGGCTTATTAACATTTTTGGGTTAACCGAGAGAAATTGTGTAGAGGATAAATGTTATGTTAAGGGTAGGAAGAGTTTAAAAATGATTTCTGATGGTCTCATCTTTTGTACTTCACAAGCCACTGTTTGGTTAAGTTTTCATGTCCGCTGGTGAGCCTGTATTTGAGGAACTTCTGCTTCCGTTCTCTGCAGCTCTTCAGTGTGATGAAGGGCAGCTCTACGATCCATGCGGTCCAGCCTGCGCTCCGTCCTGCCCCGGTGTCCAGCAGAGTCCACACTCTCAGTGTGGGGTGCTGTCCTGTGTGGAGGGCTGCTTCTGCCCTGCTGGCACAGTCAGACATGGTATCAAAACGATGCGGTGTAATTATTTACAATAGGTCCATTAGGGACCTACAAACTACATAGCAGTAGTTTATACAGATATTATAAACAATCTGGTTATCTGCATGTGAAATTGAATATTCAGCTTCTTAACTAAATATTTTGGGTTAGCATCCTAAATAAATGGTTAACTAAATAATCACCTTGCTTAATTTGGAGCTTAGTACTTAGTTTGTATTTGTGACATTTAGAAATGAATGAGACAATTTGACCCTTTTTATCTCTTATGTCAAGCTAAAAAAACCCAAAATATTGCAGTTAATGTTTTACTGCAACTTTTCAAAAAGTATCCTATAAAACTGCAAAATAGCCCAGGAAAATCTTTACAAATTTTTCAGATAAGGTTCGCAGGGATTAACTTTCAGATCAATGTGCTTCATATGGCTTCATAGGTGACAGCTGTATAGAACCCACCCAGTGTCCCTGTGAATGGGAAGGCTCCATGTTTCCACCTGGAAGTGCCATCACCATTCACTGTCAGAACTGGTCCGTCTAAAACCATGTGAAAAAAATAAAATAAAATCTGTTTTAATGTTAGAGAAACAGTCGGCCTGAAAATCTGACACCTGCCGTCGTTTTGTGCAGTTCCTGTGAAGAGGGCGTGTGGCGCTGTGAAGGCGTGTCTTGTCCTCCTCCCCCGCCTCCCTGCCTGGAGTCGGAGTTTTCCTGTGCCAGCGGACGCTGCATCTCCTCTCAGTGGGTGTGTGACAATGAGGACGACTGTGGAGACGGTTCGGATGAGGTCTGCCCATCCACCTGCTCCCCGGAGCAGTTCAGATGTGCCAGCAGCCCGAGGTGATTACATTTTTTTTGTACACAATTTGAACCAGGTCATGTTAAAACTGCCATATTAAAAGTTCTGGGTGCAACCAGCCTTGTCACAATAATACATTTTGTTGGACGAGAAATTTCTCCAGAAGTTATTGTGATAAACGATATTATTGTTTCTTTTGAAACTATTTTTAAGTAATATAATGGTTATGGCAAAATAATAATACGAGAGCACATTCTGAAAGATCAGTAAACTTTATGTTTTAATGGAACTGGAAGACTTTTTAAATATTCAAAATAAACAACACAACAAATAAAATGAATTATGAAATCTTTGTAAAGACTAAGCCACCAAACTCAAGACTTTTATCATCCAGCCTTTGGTAGAGAGAGAAAAGAGAGATAAATGATAAATTATGCCAATAGAAATTATTGTGACAGCCCTAGGTGCAACATAGATTTTTTATTACTTTAATTGAAAAATTTATGTTTTTTTTATATTTAATTACTGCTCTGACTGAGTTGCTGCTTTTTGTGAGTCTGTTTACTCTGGTTAGTAACGATTCGTTAACAAGTATTTCAATAATCAACTCGTCACGATTAACCCGATTAATGGTTTCAAATAAATAAAACCTTTGCTGTCATGACTTGAGTCACTTTGTCAGTCAGTCTTTCTGCAGGACTAAAACTCTTAAAGTGAATTAAGTGAGATAACCCCGACCTTGCAGTGGACCATGTTTGAACCTGGCTCTGCGTTGTGATGGCCACCCAGACTGTGCTGACCAATCGGATGAGGAGTTCTGCGGACCCCCCACCCTGGCGCCTCTATGTCCTCCCGGAGAGTTTCAGTGTGCCAACGGAAAGTGTCTTCCAGCCAGCCGTGTGTGTGACGGACGGCTGGACTGTGGCTTCGCTGATGGGTCTGATGAGCAAGGTAAACACACACAGAGAATAACATTTTTAGCAGGTAAATAAATGAACTTCATGGTTCATGTTCATCCTGCTTCTTTTTCTCTGTTTGCTGATGTGTTTTTATCGACTGCTCTGCTATTGCTGTGTGCTGTGATCCATCACCTGTTCAGACTGCGGTGTGGTGTGTGATGAAGGGGAGTTCCTGTGTCCAGGAGGACGCTGCATCCTCTACATCCACCGCTGTGATGGCCATGATGACTGTGGAGACCTCAGTGATGAAAGGGGGTGTGTTTCCCTTATATTATTCAAATTTTTGATATTTTAAACACATTTTTGAGCATCGAAGAGACTAAAATTGGTTCCTTTGTTTAGTTTTTCTGCTAGTGTTTTTCTGCTTTGTTTACTTTTTCTGCTAGTGTTTCTGCTAGTTTTCTGCTAGTTTTTCTGCTAGTGTTAATCAGTGCCCATAATACAAATATTTCAAACAAGTCGCAGTGTTTTATAAGATTTGCTGAAAAACATCTTGACGCTACGCAGCTAGCGTTTTCCTTATTGTTTCTGTGACCTCATACTGCGGCCGGGTCTTTGAAGGATCTCATCCAGACTCTCTGATTTGCAGGTGTGTTTGCTCACCAGGAGAGTTTCAGTGTCCTGACGATCGGTGTGTCCCTGCACACACACTCTGTGACGGCCAGAGAGACTGCCCTTCAGGAACAGATGAAGCTGTCTGCCCAAGGAAAGGTGAACAGTAAAATTCCAATGCCTAGACTACCAGCTGTGTCCAACCGGACACAGCTGGTTTGGCTTGTTTGGTCGAAAGTATGACACATGGCTGACACTGCTTAATGTGCGTACCCCTTTAAAAGCCTTGAAAAAAGGCTTTGTTTTACCTCATGTTCTTTGAAACGGTATATTGTGGTCTCTTAAATTTGAGTGACCCAACATGTTGTGTGTTTTCTTGGCATTGCAGTGACCTGTGCTCCTCATCAGTTTGCCTGCAGTGATGGTTCATGTGTTGCCAAAACCAAGCTGTGCGATGGAACAGTGGACTGTCCGGGCCGAGAGGATGAGAACAGAACCAGCTGCTACGCTGGAGTCACAACATCACCTGTCACGACGTCTTCAGGTAATAAATTATCTTAAACAAATAATTGTTAGAAATAATGACTAAATAAATCAATTAAGTATTATTACTTGTAGAGGTGGCACTCATCTTTAAGGTTTTAAAGTTTTCCTCATCCGTCATCATCCAGTTTGCAGAAAATGGACAATACCTGATAAACAATGGGTTCTTGTTTGTAACAACCAACAATTGTTACAATTGTAATTCTTTTTTCCTGCATATGTTTAATGTCTCAACACCCAGCTCTTGTCTTCCACAAACCGGCTGGTGGTCTCTCTCCTGAATGTCGATCATACCAACACAGAAAAACAATCTCTGTTCTTCTTTCACACCTTCTTCTTTACATTTTCCGAGTAGAGAGTTCCAAAACCAAAATGCTACAGTTTGTAGGCATGTCTGAGACATGCCCTGAAATTCTTTCTGAAGGTTCAGTCAACGAGTCCTGGGTCTTTCCAAAGGTTTACTGAATCCTAATCTAACAGAAAGTGATATGTCTGCAAAGGATCAGACTTCTGTGCATCTCTAAAGTGATATTGACGTAACATCTTCCAAGATAAATGTCCAGCTTTGTCAATGAAAGCTCCCTTGGTGCAGTTTGCAGGTCCTATGAGTTGAGGTGCGCCAGTGGGGGTCAGTGTGTGCCTCAGGCGTGGCGTTGTGACGGGGAAACGGACTGCATGGACGGCAGTGACGAGCAGCAGTGTGCTGCTCCCTGTGGACTGGGCCAGGCGCTCTGCCTCAGTGGGGACCAGTGTGTGGATTACCAGCAGCTCTGTGACGGGACCCCCCACTGCAAAGACTCATCTGATGAGAGCATCAACACCTGCGGTGAGTTTGCAGTGATGCTGTTGTGCGCGTATCGGTTCCACAGAGGAAATGTTGTAACGTTTTGTTTAATTGGAAACGAACCGTCCATCTCCCAGGCTCCATTCAGATACCATCCTGTCCGGGAAGCTTCCCGTGTGACAACCACACCTGTGTGAACGTGACCCAAGTCTGCAATGGCGTCCCAGACTGCCCACGTGGCCATGATGAGTTGGTGTGTGGTGAGTTCACATTACATGAGGAGAAGAGGGAGATAAAGTATAGAAAGTGGGGATGATGAGACAATAGAACATATTATTTTGCATTATAGGAACTACCGGATTCAGAGAAACCAGTTAGTTTGGAACCTTAGTAATTTGAAAATAAAATCTGACATTGTTGATTCATTGCAAAAGGATTCAGGAAGCTGAGGATATCAAGCTATATTTGATTTTTTTTGAAACAGTGCAAGTTGTTTAATAGGATCTAGTTTTATTCTTTCTTGTTTTGTTTAGTTTTGTTTTGTGTCATGTTGCCTGCACTCCTTACCGGTTGGTGGTGGTAATTCTCACCTAACATTTTTTGCCAACTGCCAATAAATTTCAAGAAAAAAAAAGGGAGGTGAGGGGGAAAAAAAGAAAGAAGGTGAGAATTTGAAGAATTTAAAATACAGTCTTGCAAAAGCAATACTATTGTTTCTTGTCCATACTCTGTCACCTTACAACCACAAACTTCACTGTATTTTATTGGGATTTTATGCAACGACTAACACAAAGTTAGATTATGCTGATGAAGAAGTGCCTAATGGTTTAGTTGAATAAAACGTTTACATGGTTAGGAAAGATTGATCTGTAAAGTCACAAATAAAATTTATTAAAGTTAAAGTTCACGTTTCAGCGGGAGTTGGGAAATTAATTTCATGCGCAATATTTGACATCGGAGACACACAAGAGGAACAAATATGATAGTTATCAATTGAAATGTGTTTGCTGAACGTTGAACATGTTCTTGTTTCAAGATCAAACCGTTTCAGCAGCGCCCCCTGGCAGTCGAAACCTCTCTGTGCCCTGCACCGAGTTCACCTGTATGGATGGAAGCTGTTTACCATTTAACAGGGTGCGTATCCAACCACCATGTTAATCAGCTCTGGCACACAAACGTCTTTAGTAACGTTGGTAATTTGATGAGCAAAATCATAAAAGAACTATGTATGAGACTTAAAATCTGTTAAAAATTACACATTTTTAGATGTTTCAAAATCAAACTTTTTGGATGTCAAGGGATTGATGATGTTTGACCTTGTTTTTTGTTAGGTGTGTAATGGGGTTGCAGACTGTCCTGACTCTTCACTGATCCCATCTGGGGGCCCCACAGATGAGCACGGATGTAGAGCTTGGGGCTCTTGGGGCCCCTGGAGCTCCTGCAGTGCCTCCTGTGGATTAGGTACCATGAGCCGGTGGAGATCCTGTCCCCCAGGTGACCCACTTCACCGCTGCCTGGGCCAACACACGCAGAAGCAGCAATGCTTCAACACCACCTGCCCCGGTAAGCAGATGGAGAACAACTATACTTTAGACATTTGTTTTTATTAGTTAGATTGGGAGTGAGATGTTACATGGTCGTTGTTTTGCTTGTCCTCAGTGGACGGTCAGTGGTTATCATGGAGCAGCTGGTCCAGCTGTTCCAGTGGTTGCGGCGGGGTGCAGGTGAGGCTCAGAGACTGCAGTCCTCCTCGCTATGGAGGTCGGCTCTGTTCCCAGCTCCCTGGACCTTCTAACATCTCCATGGAGATCAGTAAGAACTCAGCTGTCAACATACAGCTTACAGGTTTATTGAACCAGAATCATGTGTTACGGTGTTCCACTGGACTCTGAAGGAGGACCAGTTATAGTCTTTTAGGACTTATATTCATGGATATGATTTAGATTTCCTGTTATTCTGACGAGTCACATTTATTTATTCATGACATCAAATAACAAGATAATTTTAAGAAATGTAGACGTTTAGCAGCTTGTCTTCAAAATGTCTGGTTGAGCTGTAAACTGTTTTGAACTTAGTCTGAATCAAAGTCATGTGTCACTTCAGACAAGTGTGTGCAGCAAGATTCATTTTAAGTGTGCAGAATTACAAAAATGAACTATTTTCACAAAGTGGTGTCACATTAAATCTTTATTTTCTCCAGAAAAAAGCGAAGCTCTCATTGGTAGAACAGATAAAAGATGGCAATCTTCCCCAAAAAAGCATTTAGAGTAACTTTTAAAATTAGTTATATTAGTATATGTTTAGTATGCTTTTAGAAGCTTTTAGAATGTGTTGTACTATGTGCAAGTTTGTGGCTTTTTGGGTCACACTATTCAAAAACATCACCTACTCAACCCATAAGAGCATTTGACTCCTAAAATGTATTTTCCATGTATTTCTGTTTAACATAAAAACATTCAGGGTTTTGAAGAAAGTGTCTAGAACAAGCATTGCAACAAAAAACAGTTGACAGTTGGTTTTATGGTCCTACAATCATGGGATCAGAACATCAGTTCCACTTGTTGTTCTCCAGAACCATGTCCTGATGATGGCTGTGCTGACACCAGCTGTCCTCCTGGCCTGGTGAGGCACCGCTGTGCTCCGTGCCCCGTCTCCTGCGCCCACATCAGCAGTGGGTCAACCTGTGACTCTGCGACGCCCTGCTTCTCTGGTCGGTCGACACTTTACAGCGCAGGAAGAGTTTAAATTGTGATTTCAATTTAAACTCTTTAAATTCAATTTAAACTCTTTAAACTCTCTAAATTACACCGACCTGGAAACTGTTGCTGTGAATCGTCACATTTCCCTCTTTTCCTTCAGGCTGCTGGTGCCCCGAAGGCCAAGTGATGAGCCACACACAGCAGTGTGTGTCACCCAGAGAGTGTGTGTGTGAGGTGGCTGGTGTTCGCTACTGGCCGGGTCAGCAGATGAAAGTGGACTGTGACCTCTGTGTGTGTGAGAGGGGAAGGCCTCAGAGGTGTCGGCCCAACCCAGACTGCTCAGGTGGGAAACACACACTTCTGTTTCTCTATGTTTGCAGGGAGTTTCAATTGACTTCCATTCACTTCTTCATCTTACCACTTACCCAAACCTTAACCCTTACAAGTACCTAACCATAAACCTAACCAAAAGTCAGTTCACACCTAAACCTGAACCCTGACCTAAAACCACCACTTCCTCTAGTGGGACCACAGTGCTCACAATGTAATATGTGTTAGGAAAATAGTCGCTGCAATGTCTCAAATACATGGCACACACACACACGTGCACCCACGCACACACACATACAGTATGTCAACACATGATCCATTCTGTTCTGACTCCACACATCTGTCTCTGACCCCCTTAGTGCACTGCGGCTGGTCGTCCTGGTCTGAGTGGGGAGAGTGTTTGGGCCCCTGTGGGGTCCAGAGTGTCCAGTGGTCATTCCGGAGCCCCAATAATCCAACCAAGCATGGGGCTGGGAGGGTGTGCAGAGGGATTTACAGAAAGGCTCGCCGGTATGAATCATCCATTTCACTTTTTGTCATTTCATATCCTTTGCATGATGTTTGTATGAATAATTCTTCAATATCAGAGCCATCATCATATAAAGTCGAGTGAAAAATAAAACTGTCCAGCGGGGCATTAATCAGTAGCCATGCCGACACTTGTGTCCGTGTCTGTGTGCAGGTGTCAAACTGAACCATGTGATCAGTGTCACCATCAGAGTCGATCCCATGTAGTTGGAGAAAGATGGAAGGTGGAGCCCTGCCAGTTATGCCACTGTCTTCCCAACCTCACAGTGCAGTGCGCCCCCTACTGTCCATATGCAGTCACTGGGTGCCCTATGGTGAGAGAACGTGTGTCAGAGCTACACTGTGTTCACTGTGAGAATGAGCTGAGAAGCTTCTAAGCAAAATTGTAAATTAAACATATCAGCATTAGCCAAGAAATGGTACTTATATTTCTTCTACATGCAAACACATTCACTTCAATAAATATTATTTATTTTTCTTTTTTATTAACCTTTATGTGAACCTGAGTCACTGAGGCTGTAATTACAGGATGATTCTTTCTACTGAAGCTTCTCGCCTGATGCATGCAGTGTTGTGAAAAAGCATTTTCCCTCTGATAGAGTTCCTCTGGTTTTTGTTTGTTTCATTTAAATATTTTAGACCATGAAACACATCTTAACATCAGCCAAAGACCAGCAAAGCAAATGCCAAAACTGGTGGTTTCATTTATTTAGGGACAAAAGCCTTTAGACAAGTCAAATGTAAAATCATGAAATAGTTGTGATTTGATTTACTTTCCTGCTGCCTGACCTGTAGAATCAACAAAATAACTTGTCTGAATTTTTGTCTACTTGGTGGTGTCACACATTCACAACACATCCTGCTAAGACCGAGCCATTGACGTCTATCTTTAATATTAAGAATTGTTTATCATATTTAGATGTTAAAGAAAAAAATCTAAGAACTCTGAATGGGGACTAATACTTCTTCACAGCACCTCATAAAACTGTGAATCTTTTTTGTTTTTTAGGGTCTAAAGCTCATCAATGGAGAGGAGAACAGGTGCTGCTTCTGCCAAGGTAGTTTATATAGGTACACACACACACACACACACACACACACACACACACACACACACAGATATATATATATATATCTATATCTATCTATCTATCTATCTATATAGATCTATATATATTTAAATATATATACATCATTTACTGTTTGATTTTAGACCCTTGAACATAATTTGTTTTTAACGATCTGTAGGGGAAAATGGGACAACGATGGTAACAGAAAGCCCTGGCTTTATCACATCCAAACCCAGGGATGTTACTCCTGTAGTACCTACATATCCATTTCCATCTGGAGGTTGGTGTCTTCTTTTACACACAGCGAGTGTTCCAGCACATTACCATTCAGTATATTTAAATAATTCATTCTTCCTATTAAGATGAGTGTTGGGTTCCTCTGGGTGTCCAGACGCTCCCAGTGTCTAGTTTCACTGCCTCGTCGCACCAGGACGGCCACCCACCCGAAGCAGCACGTCTTCATGGGTGGGACCCCCGTAGAGATCTCCAGGTCCTTCACACATTCTCAGCTTTCTGTCACCTAACCTGATCAGGATCATCAATCCAGTCTGTATTTAACTTAATCCTTAAAGTCTGAACCAGCTCTGCTGGCGTAACAAAACATAAATGGTAGGGATTTTATTTGCAGTCAGATCAAGTCATGAACCCGACACCGGTTATTTTCTGTTTGCCGTTTACATACAGGGCTGGAGTCCAGAACCAGAGGAGTATAAAGACCTGCCACAAAAGAGACGCGAAGGACAGAGTGTCAACACACAAAGCCCCTACATTCAGATCGACTTACTCAAACCTTACAACATCACTGGTAAAGATTCCCACAGGTGCTTTCAAACAGCTGAAATTGAAACTGCTGATTTAGTGTCTTGTGTTTAATTCTGTGAACCAATAGCTTTGTTGTGTGATTATCCCTCGTTCATTTATTAAAATATGTGATGGCTGATCTGATTCTAGGTGTTCTGACCCAGGGAGGTGGGGTGTTTGGCACATTTGTCTCCAGCTTCTATCTTGAGTTCAGCCATGATGGAAAACGTTGGCACAGTTACAAGGAGCTTCCTTCTGATGCGCCACCGAGAGCTAAGGTCAAAGATCAAACAACTCGAAACGTTCAAGCAGCTTCCACAGTTTCCACATCGTCAAATCAATGTTTCTCTGCCCTTCCTGCAGGTTTTTCTCGGTAACCATGATGATCGAGGCGTGACGGAGAGTAGACTGGAAAGGATGGTGTCGGCTCGGTTTGTTCGACTGTTGCCTCACGACTTCCAGAATGGCATCTACCTTCGGCTGGAGATCATGGGCTGTGATGATGGTCAGCAGATTGATGGCAATGGTGTTTTGCTGACCTTGAAGAAAATGACACGTTTTTGTAGAACATTCTTCTTTATCTCCTCTCAAGGTTTCCCCAGGTTAACTTTCCCAACCCCTCCTTCACCAGTCTCTCAGGCTGAAGGTTGCAGAGAGAGAGAATTCCGGTGTGACAATGGTCGCTGTGTGCCGGCCGGCTCTCTGGGAGTTGTCTGTGACGGAGTCAATGACTGTGGGGACGGATCGGATGAGAAGTACTGCGGTGAGTTTTCTGCTCTCATTAGTCTGTGTAAATAAATTCCCATAGTGCACTGTCAACCAGATAATGGTGGAATGTTCTGTTCGTATTGGGAAAAGCTGAAGGTGTTACATGCGTAGCTTGAGAAATTGTCTTTTGCTAGAGACAAAAGAGAAATCCTACAACTGCTGAAACCTCACACTACTCAGTGGTTCTTAGCGTAGCGGCACCACAGTGCAGCGTGAAAGTGAAAATGTAATAAATGTGGAGATTTTGGTCCCTCATTGAACCGAGTACCAGACTATCCGGTGTGAAAACGCCCTTCAAAATAAGGTGAGGAGATCAAATGTCTCCTGGCAGCTTGGAGTAGAACTAGTATTTTTTCTTCTCTTAAATTAAGTCGGTTTTATTTGGAGGTTTTCAGACCTATCCAGGAGACCTTAAGACATTCTCAACCAAATGCAAGAAAGTAAATGTTTTGGGTTCTGTTCTGAACTTTCTCTCCAAAACCCAATCTCCAATAAGTGGAAGACAGTGAATGGATATTTGTATTTTTTGTCTTGGGTTTAATTCACATTATGTCATCATTTTTCTATTTCAGTTTTTATTTTGGAAGTTAAAAAAATGAGTGTTACATTTATTGGACAGTTTCCTGATGTGTGTGTAAAACATCTTTTGCAGGCACCCAACCGTCCTCCATAACCACCAGTCCACGCAGCTGTCCTGTTGGTCACTTCTCTTGCCCGCCACCAGGGGGCTGCATTGAGGTAGACAGGCGTTGTGATGGTATCCCTGACTGTCCTAAAGGGGAGGATGAAAATGGATGCCACCGACATGACATCACTACACTGTCAGACAGGTAAGGAGCGAACTCTAAACCGGATGCTTATTTTTGTTCACCAAAATTACTTTTGTTCCTTATTGCAATTTTATTTTCCCACTTGCAGGCCACACACACCCACACCTTCTCCTCTGAAGACTCCATCAATGGCTGTTGTTACTCTTTCTGCTGCAACACCGACTGTAAGGAAAATTATATTCCCTGTACAATGTAAACCAAATCCAAAACCCACAGTTAATAGTTCTGTCTTGAAATTGTATAAGCTCTAAAAACGTGACATTTTCTCCTCACTATTAAACTTACAGCATTGTGCCAATCATGCAGCCACTGTTTCAAACTTTAAAAGACAAACGATTATGGATGTTGCTGCTGTTTTAGTTTATTTGTTCCTTGTTGCTCACACTAACATGTTCTAATGTGGATGCTTTTATGGAAAGGACGGCGGTCCAGGATACCACGGTAAGTTTCTGCTCTTTCTGTAGAACTTATTGAAATACCTTAAATTTTTCAGCGTTTCCATTAATAAACGTCACATTTCACAGGCCTTTGCTCCTCTCCTCTTGGACTGGAGGATGGGAGGATTCACTACGGCCAGCTGTCCTCATCCTCACAGCGTGAGAACAACCCCGCTGATGCCGGGAGACTAAACATCGTCCCCAACATGTGGGTGATGGCATTCAACTTTGCTTATAGTTTCCTGGTGTTGTTGACATTTAATATTGGGGGTGCACTAATTGTAGTTTTCTGGTCAGTCAATGACCTCTCGAAAATCTGTCTTGCTGATTCCGATTTGGTTGATTAGCAACAGTGGAGTGACTATTGCTACATGCAATTATGACCTTGTGTTAGTCAGCTTTCTATTGCCGCAGAGCATAAGGGGACAGTGACTGATTTTTGTGAATTGGCCGGTTGCCAATTTCCCAAAATGAAGGAAATCGGGGCAGATGTATCGACAGACACCTATTTGAATGATCATTTGAAAACAAGGCTTCAAGTGATCAAAACTACATATTATTATCTCTTTCCTGCAGCCCAGTTATGGAGCCTGGTTGGAGCCCCTTACCTGGGGACCCCCAGCCATATTTTCAAGTGGATTTCCTGGAGCCCACTTGGGTGTCAGGAGTGGTGACTCAGGGCAATGAGCGCATGTGGGGTTACCTCACCAAATACCGCCTGGCCTTTGCCCCCCAGAGTGCCCTCTTCTCAGATTTCACAGCCAATGGAAAGTTTGACGGCCCTGCCAAGGTGCTGGTTGTTTAATACTAAGTAATTTATAAATCAATGAGATAAAACTCAGATTAAGTTTTGTGTAGAACTGTGTATGATTTTTTGTCCATTAGGTGTTTGAGGTTCGGATGGTGGGCAGGACCCCCGTGACCCGCTGGTTGGGTCGGCTGATAAGAGCTCGGTACATCAGAATCATCCCTGTGGAGTTCAGGCAAACATTCTACCTTCGTGTGGAGATTCTTGGCTGCAGAGGAGGTAAAGAACTTTAACAAGCGTACACCGCTATGAAAGCACGATGAACAAAATATTTAAAGAGAAATTGTATAACAAAACCATTTGGACCTTAAGACATTTTGTCACATTTAAGCTACAATGTTCAGTGGTTTTATTCAGATTTTATCAGACTCGCACAAACCAGCCCATAAGGCTGAAGCAGAAATGATACATTGCTTTGTAATATTTCTGAAAAGTGTGACATTAATTTCTATTCAACTTTCCTGAGATAGTAATTTGCTTTGCAAACAGGAAGAGGATTCATAAAGAGAACTGGAATATATTTAGTTGTGTTGGAGTAAGGAAGATAAATACAAATATGAAAAGTGTCTATTAGTATATGTAATTTATACAGCTTAGTAAAGGGGTCTAAGTGTAAAATTTCTTTAAGAGTTCCTTATAGGCTCATAAAAACAACGTCTCCCTGACATATGCAGATGAGTTTGTGACCACATCGCCCTCTGTGGTCAGCACAGTGACAGTGCAGCGCTGCAAGCCAGGCCAGTTTCTATGCCTTGGCAGTGAGGAGTGCATCCCTGTGTCTTTGCTTTGTGACGGTCAGCCAAACTGTAAGGACTACTCTGATGAGACGAACTGTGGTGAGAGTCACGCAAAATTTAGCATTTAACAACAGATCAGTCCTTTGTCTTAAAATTTTCCCTTTGTCCTCTCCAGGAACTGCTCCCACCAGAGGCTTTCCAGGCCTCCGCAATCAGACCACCTACACTGGAAGACCTGGTATCCATGGTGACAACACAACAGGCAGCCCTGGACTACACACTACCAAGTCTGAAGATGGCTTTCCTGGTGTGGCATCATCTGCAGTCACACCCAGATCTCAGCCGCCGAGTTCAGGTTACTGTGATTGTCTGATTCTCTTGTGTAGGTTGAATTACTTGTGTGTGCATTTGGTTCTAAATGATCAAGACATTATTATTAACAGGAGTCACAACAGGCCAACCTGGACTCCATCTTACTGCCTCACTGCAGCCTGGAAGACCAGGTCTTCAAACCACAGAAGGTGGGACATGATTTCCCCATGTGATGTCTCTGGAATCTACCCTTTGCAGCACAGTTAGAGTATAACCAGGAGGTTCTGTTGATTCACAGCACCACCAATCATCACAAGCACACCAGATACCGGTTTACCCAGAGTGCTTTGCATGGAGGGCCAGTTCACATGCTGGTCATTTGGCTGCGTGGACTCTGCACGAGTGTGTGACGGAAGGAAGGATTGCTTAGATGGTTCAGATGAAAAACTTTGTGGTATGAAAGATTGCTCGATATTTTCTGATATGCCAAAACCAGATGTCCTCATGGCCAGCCCTCGAGGGCCGGTGTCCTGCAACTTTGAGAAGTCTCTTCTTCAACTTACCAGAGCCAGATATTGAGGCCATTAGAAAGACTCTGGAGACCTTAACTGCATGCTGAGGGGGTAATTCAGCCATTTGGTTCATGTGTGTTGGATGTTAGCCTGGTAAAAACAGGCCCCTTGTTCTATACTCTGCTTCAAACATCCATCCATCTGTCCATCTGTTCATTTATTCATCCATCCATTATCATACACGCTTATTCCTTGTGGAGTCATGAGTGGTGCTAGTGCCTCTTTCCAGTGTTCAGGGGTCAACAGGCGAGAGGTGGGGTCACCCTTGACATGTCGCCAGACTCTGCTTCAAACAAAATATAGAAATTAAAAGTGTGGTTAACACAGACTGAATGGCTTCCATTCCAGGCTGGTTGGACCAGGGACACATCTAAAAGTTGCTGGACACCTGCCCTTTCAGCCTTGTTTTGAGTAAACCCTGCTCCAAAGTTTTCAGAACATGCTGAATGTCCCTCACCATGCCGCTTCAGGCACAACAACCAGCCCAGCAGTAACTCCATGGCGCCCCCTGGTGCCCAGACCCTGCTCTCCGAAGCAGTTCTCTTGTGACACCGGCGAGTGTCTTCACAAGGATCGCAGGTGTGACCTGCAGAGGGACTGCATCGATGGATCGGATGAAAAAGACTGTGGTAGGCGTTACATACTCTCTTGCAAAGTGTTCATGTGATTAAAGGGTTTGTGTATTTCTTCCCTTTCATTCTGCTCTCCTGCAGTGGACTGCATCATGTCTCCCTGGACAGCCTGGAGTGGCTGCAGTGTGACGTGTGGTCTTGGCTCCTTGTTCCGGCAGAGGGACATTCTAAGAGACGCCCTGCCTGGAGGATCCTGTGGTGGAGCTCAGTTTGACAGTCGAGCCTGCTTTCCTCGAGCATGTCCAGGTCTGTATGCAGGACCTACATTCATCACCTATAGGGGAGCCGTTTGCCCAATAATGTGTTTCTTCTCCCAGTTCATGGTCTCTGGTCGGCATGGACTGAGTGGTCAGAGTGTGATGCTCTGTGTGGAGGAGGAGTTAGACAGAGGAACAGAACCTGCTCTGCTCCTCCTCCTAAAAACGGAGGATGGGATTGTGAGGGCATGACCCGACAGAGCCAGACCTGCAACATCCAGCCCTGCACCAACGAGACAGGCACACAGACAGGTAAGGGTCAAACGCAACCACCTCTTCTCAAAGGTGGAACTTTTCTTGCAAACTTAAGACTATTCAGAAGCTTCCAACCAGATTGGTTTGATTGTTCCTTTAGTTGACCAGAGTTGTTGTAACTCCACTAACAACCTGACCAACAGGCTGCGTCAGCGGCATGGTGCTGGTGAAAGAAGAAGACTGCAGAGCTGGACGAGTTGACCCCTGTCCGCCTACCTGCTCAGATCTGAGCATGACCAGCAACTGCTCTGCAACATGTGTCATTGGTAAGACTCAGAAGCGTGGTTTTTACATTTAAAATGAACTGCACGCGTCTTTGACATGTAGGTATAAAAAACATGGCTTTTAAGACAAAAGCTGAGTTTTTCTTCCAGCAGTTTCCATCCTCCCACTGGATACTTCTTCTGCCAGATTTTCTCAAGGTTTAACAGGACAAAGAAGGAAAAACATGCATTCGATCCCTCAGCAACACCTTCTATCTTACTTTTTGGTGATTCCCAACATAGGAGGGAAATGTATTCCCTCCAGGGAGTTTTGGATCAGAATAAATTTTTGCCTGTGTTTCCCCAGGCTGCCGCTGTCCGTACGGGCTGTACCTCCAGGACGGCCGATGTGTGAAGTCCAGCCAGTGCATCTGTCACTGGGATGATGAAACCCTGCAGCCTGGCCAGGTGATCAGCAGAGATCAGTGCACCACGTGGTGAGAGATGCAGGCACATCTTCAAACATTAACATGAAAAACACGTGTAAAAAGAGAATTTTTTCTTATTGTGAATAACAATGAATGGCTTGTTGGAATGCTTATTTGACCCTAGCATGTGCAGAGAAGGACAGGTCACCTGTGACACTTCTAGATGTCTGGAGACGTGCCAGTGGTCCACCTGGTCTGCATGGTCTCCATGTGATGTGACGTGTGGTGTGGGGTTGCAGCAACGCTACAGGTGAGCTTGTTTGTTCCTGTGTTGTTCAGGGTATGAGGCACTGATAGACCCTGAGAGTATCAACTTTTCACTGTCGTTCTTTGGTTTGAGTTTACTCTTTACCATCAATTTCCTGCTTCTGCCATCAGATGCAACATTTTACTCAAAGCACTCTGTTCCCATGACTTTTCATTAGTCCACCTAACGAGCAGATGCTCGCAAACTGATCCCAAACTGCAGGAGACATCGATCTGGGTTGTCAGCAGGTTCCCAAAGTGTTTATTTCTTACCTGAGTACAAAAACACATTGAAGCCAAAATGGAGAAATTCTCTATGTGGAAAAAGTAGACAGAGCCAAATTCAATGGCTGTATGATGATCCCAAATGATCAGCTCTCCATCGTCGTGCCTGATAATTTGGTACAAGGTTTTTCAGGCTGTTTTTGTATTTCTGTGTATCTCAGCTAAACATCTCTACTTTTGTCTCATCTGTCCAACAAACATTGATGTAGAAACAATCAATACTCATTCAGTCTTTTCCTGTTGTGTTAAGAACTATAATATAATAATGCTAAGTGACCCAAGTGACCCAAGCTGCTGTCGTCCACCTGTCAATAATGGACTTCAAGTATTTAGGAAATGACCTCTTACCTTTACCAGACTGTTGGGCAGAAGCACTTCCCTCTCTAAGGTTAATAGCAGAAAGTTATGAAGATAAAGATGAAGGACATCTTATCAAAGCTAATTTCTCTCTCCTCAGATCTGTGCTGACAGCAGCTGGACCAATCAGAGCGCAGCCCTGTTCGGGAGACGCCTCTGAGTCCCGACGCTGTTCCATCTCATGTCTCCCTGGTATCTAAGCTCACACTCACTCAACTGAATTATTTTGTTGCTTTTTTCTTTTAACAACAATTTGTCTTTTCTAGTCTAGTAGTTTCACCTCATGTATGAGCCGTATTCCACAGTCTTCTCCATGTTGTACAGTACTACCAGGCGGCACGTGGAGTAAATGGACCAGCTGGTCAGAGTGCACTAAGACATGTTTCAGTGACGTGGATGACGTGGGAATTAGACGCCGATTTCGCGGCTGCAACCAAACAACCTCAGCTTTCAGTCGCACACACACACAACCTGTGTGTGATGGAGATGATGAGGAGCATGAGCCCTGCAACACTGAGCACTGTCCAGGTACAGAACCCTTCATCCTTTATGCACATAACCAGAATATGCCTTATGCATCATTTTTCTACTTTTTTTTTTCATTTAAATGTAATTTTATTTTAACAAGTTATTACAAATCTGGTAAAAAGAAAAAAAAATATCATAAACTATTTTTAATTTAAATAAACAACAAAAATCATTTTGAGGTGTGAGTTGCTAATGGTAACAGCTCACTTTGGCGTTGGTCCTTCTAGTCTTTGCCTCCAGTACCGACTAATCTGTATTTTTATAAAATTCAGATACAGAGACTCTTCTAATGTAGGTAAAATTTGAAATGCTTTTTAGCTTTTGAAAGAATATCACTTCAAAAATTTGTGAACTACTCCTTTAACATGCTAACTTTAGCCATGTTCTTCCAGTGCATGGAGGCTGGTCGCTCTGGTCCCACTGGTCTCGGTGTTCGTCTGACTGTGACTCTGGTGTCCAGACGAGGGAGAGGCTCTGCAGTTCACCAACGCCACAACATGGGGGCAGCAACTGCTCTGGGCCCCACATACAAACTAAAGACTGCAATTCCCATCCCTGTTCAGGTACTCTGTCTACACATGCAGAAAACATTGTCCTCACGCTCTTTGGTTTGTTTTCTGTGTCAGCAGACTCTCTGTACTGAGTGTGTGTTTGTTTCCCTTTAGGTGTGTGTCCAGAGGGCATGACCTACATGACAGCAGCTGAGTGTGAGGCTCAGGGCGGAGCGTGTCCAAGGGTGTGCATGGACATGACCTCCGCAGACGTTCAGTGCGCCACCTCCTGTTACGACGGCTGCTACTGCGCCCTGGGGTTCTATCTGTTCAACAGCAGCTGTGTTCCTCTGGCGCAGTGCCCTTGTTACCACCAGGGGGAGATGCACCCAGCAGGAGCCACCCTGCCTGCTGATGCCTGTAACAACTGGTACCCCCTTTAGCAATTCTTTCACTTCAGAACACAAGTGCTGTTTCTGTTAGAACGCGTTTCGTTAAAGCTGCAGTATGTGACTTTTATTTAAAAAAATGTTTTTATTTATTTGATAGAACTGTCACCATGTCAGAACAGTTTGTTATGATGCAGGTAATCGGTGAAAAAAAATCCATCTCCTCCACCTTCCTGAGCTACTGTTGCCAGAAGAAGAAATTAACCTTTTTAAGGGGAAGGTCTTAGCGCTGGCAGTCACCCTCATGTACTCGCTTCTAAATGTGTTAATGGTGGAGAAACAGCTTTACCGTTACAGGAAAACAGTTAAGCAGTCATCGGTGGCCATGCTAACTAGCCTTAGCATTTACAACAGGCTCTGCTAGCTGCAGCACAGCAGAGAGTGGGATGAGCAGAGCCATAAGACCCACCTCCGAGCTTGGATTTGTTGTTTTCAGTTAGTCTTGGGAGAAGATGGAGGAGTAACAATTTTTTTCACAGGTCATGTTTCATACCATAGGCTACTGTCACGAGTCACATAAAGAGAGTTTCAGCAAATATATGAAAAAAATATTTTTATAAAGGTTAAATACTGCAGCTTTAACTTCTTTTGTCACGTAAACAGCACCTGCACTGATGGAGAAATGGAGTGTGGGTCTACTCCGTGCCCAGGTGAGTACTATCTGATGGACTGGTGTTTTTCTGTTCTCTGTGTTTTTTTTTTTTTTTTTTTTATGTTTTCTTCTGCTTATTATATTTGTTGTTGTTTAAAATTTTGTGTCAAAGTGGACTGTGGTTGGAGCAGCTGGACGCAGTGGAGCGCATGCACTCGGACGTGCGATGTGGGTATCAGACGGCGGTACCGCTCCGGAACCGATCCTCCTCCAGCCTTCGGAGGCCGTCCCTGCAAAGGAGAGGGAGTCGGGGTCGATACCTGCAGCGTCGAGCCCTGTCTGGGTGAGGACCACCACATCACTGATGGTGTCAAAGCGACGTGGAACGGATGCGTGGAAAAGGTGAAGGAAATGGGTGTCGTGATGTGTTTGAAGGTATCAGAGAACCGTGGAGCTCGTGGTCGGAGTGCTCTGTGACGTGCGGAGGAGGTTACCGGACCCGGACCCGCGGGCCAATCAGGACCCACGGCACAGCCCAGCAGTTCAGCTCCTGTAACCTGCAGCCGTGTGGTAACACTGATCTATATTTGTTCCGAACCACTGTCATATGCGACTGCTAGTATGTGTTTTAGAATTTAATAAACATTCCCAAAGTTTTTTCAGAAATTCTGGAAGTTTTTTTTTTTACATGTTTCTGCCAAGAATGACTGAATCCTTATACTTTAACTAATTATTGTATATGTATTGTTTTATTCTCTAAAACAATACATATGAGTAATCTATTGTTAGTTCTATTTCTTCTTTTTATTTGACTCGTCTGCTGTCAGGTGGAGGCAGGACTTGTCCTCCAGGCCAGCAGTGGACACAGTGTGTGGTGGGACCTGTGAGCTGCACTGACCTCACTCTGAACCTGAGCAGGAACTGCACTCCAGGCTGCCAGTGTCCACATGGGACTGTCCTGCAGGTCGGTCCAATTCATCATGAGACAAACGAATGAAATTTCATAAAGAAGCAACATCAACTCAGACAGATTCAGAAAAATGACTGAAAATATCTCAGTGATTTGTTTTGGAGAAGCAACTGCAAAAGCCCAGTGTTCTCCATTTTTCAACCTTAGTTTGGAAATATTAAAATCATATTATTCAGCAGATCATTCAGGTAATGGGTTGTCAGTTCATTTTAAGATTGAAAAATAAGCAGGAAGGAAGTTGTCTCAGAATCAACCCTGGAACAGAAGCAGCTGCTGCTTCTTTGGGAGGGGAGTAATGTGGTCTTGCTGGACAAGCTGCAGGCAGATGACCTGAGCTCATCCAGTGTAATGAAGGCCTAACTGACCTTGTCAAGGTCACCGAAATATAGGGACTGCTTCACCCTTGCAGTCATTTTTAACTGAAAAACATCAGCTCCCAGTGCAGCATTTGTCTGTCAAAGAGTAATTCAGAATAATTCTCAGGTTTCTGGTCAAGGCCGGTTCTTAAAGAATCAAAATCCAGCAGGTCAGAACCATATAGAGGTCAGAGAGAGACGAGCACTTGAACCTAAAGATAAACTATAAAATGAAATCTCTCCATGTTGTCTCTGCCATAGGCTTGGGGAAGTCGGCTAAATGTCTGCATTTACTTTTTCTGGTTTACTGCTTTTCCTCAAGTCAGCTTAAGAGCTAGGAAATAAAATAAAATAAACAGGTCTAAAATCAGATAAAACCATTGGGTGAAGGTTATGCTTTGTAGCAATAGACTCCACCACATCATCATTAAAACAATAAGCCAGGAAAGGAAGGTACACAGGCTCTAGATGATCGAACACCACCGAGTTAGAAGATAATGGCTGCTGGAAGCAGACGTCCATTCATACATGCACTTTCGATGTTACTCTGAAAGCTTAGCTGTGAAGCTTTTCTGTTTTCAGGATGGTAAGTGTGTGCTTCAATCAGACTGTCCCTGTGATGCCGATATAGAGCCATACAAACCCGGAGACACTGTGCCCAACAAATGCAAGAACTGGTAGGAAAATACAGCACAAACTAACTCTAAGAGCTTAAAGGGAGAGTAAAAGTGACAGACTTGTTTCTAACCTTCCAGTACCTGTGAAAGAGGAAGGCTCGTAAACTGCTCTCGGATCAGCTGCAACGGTAAGACGCATGACTCTAACTCTAACATGTATAACCTTCTAATGTTTACACGCCATTGTTGTGTGACGCGTGTCCAGTGGACGGCCAGTGGTCATCATGGACTCCCTGGAGTCAGTGCTCAGTGTCATGTGGAGCGGGTCTCCAGTCTCGGTACCGGTTCTGCTCCAGTCCCCAGCAGTCAGGCAGTGGACTCCCGTGTCTTGGTCCTCACCGCGAGGATCAAGTCTGCATCATGCCCCTGTGTGACCGTGAGTTGAGTTTTGGCTCATGAACGTTACCAAAAGCACACAAGCTGATATCGGCATGTTCTCTCACTGACTGAACTAGTTTAATGTATTTACAGTTGCAGTAATCCAAACTCCTTTTAGTCATTTTTTTCTGTTTTTGTAATGGCTTGTCTGTAGTTGACGGGGCCTGGAGTCGCTGGAGTGACTGGACGGACTGCTCCAAGTCATGCGGTGGAGGGATCCAGAGCCGGAGGAGACTCTGTGACTCCCCCAGTCCTGAGGGGGCCGGAAGCTACTGCGAGGGGCCTGGAACAGATGTCAGAGCCTGTAACACCGACCACTGTCCAGGTAGTCTGGAGGAACTCTGCTTTCATTTGTCAAAGTTTATTCATACAGCACTTTTAGAAACAGCTTAAAACTGCTCCAAAGTGCCGTACAAAGACAATAACACAATAGGATCAATTAACGAAGAGAAAATAAAACCGAAAAGTCACCACAGAAAAGTCGCAGTATCGTGCCTCAATTAAATGCCAAAGAATAAAAATAATTTTTAAGAAGCCATTTAAAGTGACCCAGACTGGGCAGCTCTAATCTGGAAAGGAAACCAGAGAGCAGCAGCAAAAAGAAAGTCTGGTTTCATCCGAGGGAGATTCAGTAACAACTTATAAATTGAGCACAAAGTTCTGGGTACAGATTGAAGTTTGAAAAGATCCTGAAGGTGAAAAGATTCTAGGCCATTCAGAATAATACGTTTTTCAAAGAATCTTCAAATCTATCTGATATGAAACAGTCAGCCTCGGTAAAGAGGCCAACATTGGCCTTATACTGTATGTTCAGACTTCCAGACGCCTGTGATGTATTTGTCTCCAGTGTGTAACATACTGTAAAAAAACGTCCTCCCAGTTTTTTCGTCTGTTTGCTCTAGTGCCGCCTTGCTCCAAGGTCCCAGGAACGGTCTTCAGCAGCTGTGGGCCGTCCTGCCCTCGATCCTGTGACGACCTGGCAGTAAGTGTAGCGCCGCAGCGTGCTCACATTCAACGTGTTTTCTTCTGAGTTTGAATAAAAATGCACGTCACACTTCCAACATTTCATTGAACATTAAAGTTGGGTGGGTGTGACAAAATGTGAAAAAGTTTAAAGTGTAGTTTTATAAGCACTGCACTCTGTGCTTTCATCCTGTTGATACAAACCGATATCCCAACTCGTCTCCCAGCACTGTGAGTGGCACTGTGAGCCGGGGTGCTACTGCACCGAGGGGAAGGTCCTCTCAGCCAATGGGACGGTCTGCGTGGCGAGGGACGGCTGTCCCTGCTTGGACATAAACACTGGGCGTCGTGTGGAGCCAGGAGAGTCCACTCAGGCCCCTGATGGCTGCAACAACTGGTCAGAGCCATGGAGACCGAAGGAACATATTGAATATCTGATCCTTTATTTATTATTATAAATCTGCAGACAAGTGTCGGCTCTGTTTCTCTGTGTTGCAGCACATGTCAGGGTGGAGAGTTCAACTGCACCACCGAGCCATGTCCAGGTGGGTAAGGTCACTTTAAAGGTCTGCGCATGTCAATCAATCAATCAATCAATCAATCATGAGTTTCTCTACAACTTGCTGGGTCATTAGTTCTTTAATCCTGGAAATGTTCTTCAGGTGATAGAAGGCTGACTTTCTTTATGTCTCTGAAGGTTCAGGTCAGAGGTCATCACTACACCCAGATTTTGGGCCTCTTCACTAATTTTGAAGCTGTAATAACTGAAGCTGCATGCAGATTGTCGATCGTTCCTCATGTGATGAATTTTTGCTTCAAAACCAGCTGGAACTAATTGGTACATCTCTGCTTCCTAGTGTCGGGTGGGTGGTGTGAGTGGTCAGAGTGGACTCCCTGCTCCAGAACCTGTGGGGCGGAGTCAGTGTCCCGCTACAGGAGCTGCAACTGTCCTGAGCCTAAAGCTGGGGGAGACCTCTGTCCCGGAGAACAGGAAACGCACAACGGGATCGGAGCACAAATACAGAGACGGCCCTGCCCTGTCGTCACATTCTGCCCAAGTAAGATCCTGACAAAAATAGAGTGGAGACGAACATTTTAAAAAGCTGTTAGTACGAAAATAGTTTTGGTAAAATAGTTATCTGATCAGAAGAAACGGTCTGCCACTGTTGAGAGGATAAAACGGAAAAAACAAGAAGGTTAGAACTGTGACTTTAAAAGGTAATATGTATTTTTACATATTACCTTTACATTATAATTTTAGAGAAATTGAGGTTGTTTCTCACGGAGCCCCCAATGGGACAAGGGAATTTATTTTTTCTCTTGCAAAACTTTTGCGTTAAAGTTTTGCAATAAGCAAATATTGCTTACTGCAATCATCGAGATGGAACTGCTCATGAAAACAGACCTTTACTGATTATTCAGACTACCATCACAGAAAAGACACTATGAAAACTGTCACATATGACGTTAGTACCCTGTGAAAATAACTCATACATAATCCAAATAGGTTGTCAAGAAAAACATATAAAACGTCAGTTATTTATTCACTCAGATGCCTGTCTCACAGTTTGTGTGTGTGTGTGTGTGTGTGTGTGTGTGTGTGTGTGTGTGTGTGTGTGTGTGTGTGTGTGTGTGTGTGTGTGTGTGTGTGTGTGTGTGTGTGTGTGTGTGTGTGTGTGTGTGTGTGTGTGTGTGTGTGTGTGTGTGTTTCACTGATAGTTCATGGCTCCTGGAGTTCCTGGTCTGCCTGGTCAGAGTGTGATGAATGTGCCGGCTCCTCCATTCGTACCAGACAGTGTAACAGTCCCCCTGTCAGGTTTGGTGGCCTCCCCTGTCTGGGCGAGAGCCGGCAGAGCCGCAGATGTCACGACAACGCCACTGTCTGCTCAGGTCAGCCCACTGAGAGGTTTCACTCTGACCGGATCTGTGTTTAGATGCAGAGATGCTCTCCAAGCCTGAGAAGCTGCGTCTTCACACGCCGTAGCACCTTCTCCCACCATCTTTGTTAAAAGTTAGATTCATCTGTGTTTCTCAGACTGCGGTGGTGGTCAGGAGGAATGGCCGTGTGGGAAGCCTTGCGCTCGCTCCTGTTCAGATCTCCACGGCGACACGGACTGCTTGGACTCCCCCCGGTGCATCCGGACCTGCGGTTGTCCGGACGACATGCTGCTGCAGGACGAAGTGTGTGTGGCAAGACAGGAGTGCCGCTGCAAATACCACAACGGCTCAGCTACCGGTTCGACACGTCTTCCGTTTACGCAGAAATAGCTTGGAAGAATCAAAAGCGGAGATCTGTTGTTAATGTGAGAAACATCAAACTGTGTATTTCTCTGTCAAGATGGTTTGGGTTCCAGGAACGTATCCTGGGTGTGGCCTGGTGGATATGACTGGCAGTTTGCAAATCCAGGGGATATCATCATCAGTGACTGTAAAAACTGGTAAAGCTGCCTCTCCAACGATGACAATCCGTTGAGAACTTTGATCAGTTCGGTATTGATTCCTCATCTTTTTATGCTTCTTTATTCCTCAGCTCGTGTGAGGGTGGCGTTTTGCAGTGCCAGTCTGTCCCCGGTTGCCATGTGGATGGGGGCTGGGGCCAATGGGGAGCCTGGACCGAGTGCTCTGTTCCTTGTGGCAGAGGCGTGACGTTCAGGAGGCGTCTGTGCGATAACCCGGCCCCTCAGGCCGGCGGCAGAGGCTGTCTGGGTGCAGCAGAGCAGAAGAAGGACTGCAACATGCAAATGTGCACAGGTCTAATACAAGCTAGCATTTCTGAATTTATTCTACCTGCAATTTAACTGCAAACTTTACACAGAATATCTAGAGTTTTGGTCTTTTTTTTTTTGTTTGTTAATTCATCCTGTGAGTTCTGGTCTGTTTTGTGTCCAGACTCGGTGGGCCCTTGGCTGCTCTGGTCTCAGTGGTCTTCTTGCTCGGTGAGCTGCGGCGGAGGGCAGCAGTCCCGTTCTCGTACCTGCACCTCTCCACCTTGCCACGGTGTCAGTCGCCAGAGCAAAATGTGCAACACACAGGTCTGCCTCGGTGGGTCTCTGTTTCTGAACCCAACATGACATTCAGTCAGATTTCAATGTCTGCAGGAGTAAAGTCATGGGGAATGGCATGAATTATCTTGTGAGGTTCCTCAAGATTCTATTTTGGGCTCTACTCTATTGCAGCTCAATGAAGTCTCAGTAGATAATGTGTCTGCATGCTGATGATATGAAATTGTATTTTTGTTTTGGGGCTTTTGCATTTTGTATTCTGTCCACCTTGACTGGGAGACAGAAATAATTGATTTGCTTCTGAAAACATTACCCGTGTTGTAAGTGAAATCCATGTATCAAAGATTGGTCTGATCAGTTGAACTTGTGAAATGTGGTGTGTTGCGTTGACAGCTCCATGTTCCTGGAGTATCACTCCACCCAACTTTTGCAGTGCTTTGCCATTATTTGAAAAAAGGTGCTGCACAAATAAAGTGACTTGCGTGTGTTTTTGCATGTTGTTGTGAAGATGTGGGCTGCCCCCCCGGTAAGCTGTACAGGGAGTGTGAGCGTGGAGAGGGCTGTCCCTTCAGCTGCGCTCAGGTCAGTGGCAGAGAGGGCTGCTACTCTGACAGCTGTGAGGAAGGCTGCCACTGCCCCCCGCACACCTACCAGCACCATGGAACGTGTACACCGGTGGGTCCTGAGCAACTTCAGGCTGGGCAGTTGAGGATGGGTTGAGACGGAACGAACTGACCCCATGTGGCCTGTGTGTTTCAGGAGTGTCCGTGTCTGGTGGATAGAGAGTTCCTGGCCCGCTTGCAGAGCGTGTCTGTCACATCCGTATCATCTCTGCTCTCCAACAACGTCTCAGAAGGGTCGGAGCTCATGTCTGGAGATGCACTGACGCATGACTGCAGCACCTGGTGAGTCCAATGTGTTGTCTAAGTCAGTCTGATCTGCTGAGCAGCTCTATGATTTACCCTGGGATCGGGTTCTGTTTCCTGTAGCGGCTGTGAGCATGGCAGGTGGAACTGTTCCCTGGAGCTCTGCCCCGTCCACGGCGGGTTGTCACCCTGGGGCCCCTGGAGCCCCTGCTCGCTCTCCTGTGGAGGTCTGGGAGTGAAGACTCGCTCCAGGGCCTGCACAGAGCCGGCTCCGGCCCACGGTGGGAGAGACTGTCAGGGGCTCCGCAAGGAGACCACCTATTGCCAGGCCCCGGATTGTCCAGGTGGGAGTTAACCTGAGAGAAAGTTGTTGATGAAATAATTTGTTGTGTGGTTACAAGACTTAATTGTTTTGCCTTTTTTTGCAGCCACTGTTGTTCCAACAGTGGAACCAACTATTCCAGGTAGCATCTTTGCTTTAATTTAAACATTTATAATCTTTTTCTTTTTCATTTTACCGTACATGCTGATCTGATCTTATTTTTGCAGTTTATACTCATTCTCTGTTTTTCAAACAGCTTTGACAAACCAACTGAAATTTCACAGACTTCTAATTTTGCTTTAACAGCCATAAAACTAGAAGACAAAATGACATTAAAAACATTTTCAGCTTACCTGCTGTGAGTGTTTATGTTGGCGTAGAAAAAACACTATGTAAATAAAAATTATGTAGAAGCATGTAGAAACCTTGGTAACTTTATATTAATCAGCAAAACAAAAAAGTTCATTCATAATTTAGTTACACTTTAACTTAATCTTTTTAAGAAGTTGGAATCTTAAAAAGATGAACCACTTTTAGTCTGTCATTCAACCTTCCTGTTATCTGCTGAATATATCAACCTCACTTAAAAAAACAAAAAACATATTTCAAAACACTGGAAAAGATGGTTTCTTCTAAATATAGCATTACATTTGTGCTTTCTTTTACTTTATGTTTAAACGCTTCACCATGACTATGAAAATAACTTACTTTTTATTAAAGTGGTAGCACTTTATTGTCCTTGATAAAGATCAGGTCTTGGTCTTTCCGACTGGCCGGTTAATGGTCAGGATCACCACTTGATCTCAAGAACCAAAGTTGCTTCAGCGCCTTTCTTCCCGTCTCCGATAGAGGAGGATTCCGGCTTCTCTCCGTGGTCGCTGTGGAGCTCCTGCACCAAAACCTGCACCGATGTTCAGACCCCTGCTGTAAAGTCTCGTCATCGACTGTGTGCCAAACCTCCCTGCTCTGGAAGCGCTCACCAGGAGAAGGCGTGCAACCTGCCCCAGTGTCCAGGTCTGACTGTCACACATCACAGTTCCCTCTCCGGGTCAATTCTGGCAGGTCTCTCTCAGAACAAACCTTCTATTTTGTTTTGTATTGTGATTTTTAAATGTAGCGATAAGTAAGAAACAGCGGGTGTGTAGTAAAACAGTGACGGAGGCGCCTTTCACTCTTTCTGAAGTTAGAACCGCAAACTAAAATATCTTTGGGAGATTTTATGCTGCAGAGCAACAGAGTGGTTCAAATTTGTGAGCTGCTTGGCAGAGGACTGACTCTGCTCATCATCCTCAGTGAAACATGCATTTCTTCAGCTGGCCAGAGTTTATGGTGACATTGGAGTTGACCTACCAAAAGAAAAAAAATCTGTTGACATTTAAGTTTGGACTGTGACACTTTGAGAACAAATTTAAGCTACATTTACCAGGCACATAGTGAATGGGTAGATGGCATATAACATGTAGTAAGGGTGCACCCACACTTTGTGTGATTGGCTAACACTTACATGTGAAATTGATCTTATCAACCTGAAAAAACTGTTATAAAATTTTTAAAAGTCTGTTGTTTTTTTAGAGATCATCGATCAGTAATTGGCCAGTAAACTTCAATTGGTGCTCCAATAGTCTGCGGTATATTACAGTAGTCTTCATTTTTTTCTCAGTCATCATAATCTGAATAAATGAGCAGTTTAATCATCAGACAATGGGCATGAGCTGCAAAGATTTGTACCGTTTGCACTACACTTTGTTCTAAACTGCAGGAGAGGTGTGTGTAGGAGCCACCTGCCCTCCAAGGAACTGCTCCTGGATGGAGTGGGGGCTGTGGGGGTCCTGCTCTCGGTCTTGTGGTGTGGGTCACCAGGAGAGGATTCGAACCTTCCTCCAGCCTGCCGGCAACGGTTCCTGGTGTGAGGACATTGTTGGAGGGAACCTGGACCATCGCTTCTGTAACATCCGGCCCTGCAGAGGTCAGTGTGGCGCCTCGCCCATTCAGTGCGCTTCACGGTGAAGTTTGAGCCAACGGCCTGACCTATCGCTGTGAAACAGTGAATGGAGGCTGGTCCAGGTGGAGTCCCTGGTCCCGCTGCGACCAGCGCTGCGGTGGCGGCCGCTCCATCCGCACCCGTTCCTGCTCCAGCCCCCCACCCAAGAACGGGGGCAGGAAGTGCGTCGGGGAGAAGAACCAGGTCAAGCCGTGTAACACCAAACCTTGTGGTGAGGCTGAGCGGAACACACCATGTGTAGATCACTGTGACCTTTCCCAGTCCTTGTCCTGCACACGAACGAAGGCTCATTAAGTCAGCATAAGGCCATGTTGGAAAAGTCAGCATTCTTGGGGAGGCATGAGATGCAGAAACAGAGCCGGCAGCATCCCCAGGACATTCATGACCTTCTGTGTGTGTGTGTGTGTGTGTGTGTGTGTGTGTGTGTGTGTGCGTGCGCCATCAGATGATGGAGGCTGTCCGATGGGCCAGGAGTTTGTGTCGTGTGCCAACCAGTGTCCTCAACGCTGCTCAGATCTCCAGCAGGGCATCGAGTGCCAGGGCAGCGCTGAATGTCAGCCTGGCTGTCGCTGCCCTCAAGGTGCTGAACCGGCTCCATGCTCTGTCACGCCGCGTGTCTTTGTTTCTTTGTTTCATATCACAGGTGATTGTTCAGGCAGTTTGTTCAGGTGTTGGACAGGCATGAATTATTCCTGCTGCTGTTCACACGGATCAGATTTAAACACGTCTTTAAAGGTTCATGTGATGGCGCGTAAAAGTAGATGGAAGCCGGTTATTTTGTAGGATATTTAATGGCTTTTTTGATTCACATTGATTGTTTTTTGTTTCATAAATAGTCAAATTTCTGTCTAAAATCTGTTCCGGAAGATGAATTATTTATCTTCCCCGGGTATTTTATTTAAATTAGCAATATCAGGAAACAAAAAATAATTGCATGTAATCCAGAATTATACTTAGTTATTATACAATGTTATGGTTTATTTACTAATATTTAGTATTTTGAGTAGATGCAGATCAGGATCTACAGCGTGTTGAAACGGCCAAACACCTGCTGAGTTTTAGAACAGGTTTTGCCGTGTGTGTGTGTGTGTGTGTGTGTGTGTGTGTGTGTGTGTGTGTGTGTGTGTGTGTATGTGCGTGTGTGTGTGTGCGTGCGTGTGTGTGTCTGTGTTCAGGTCGGTTGCAGCAGGACGGTGTGTGTGTGGAGCTGTGGCAGTGCGACTGCGTGGACTCGCTGGGCGATGTGTGGGCAGCAGGCAGCTGGCACCGGGTGGACTGCAACAACTGCAGCTGCTCTGACGGCCGGCTGCTCTGCACCAATCACAGCTGCCCGCCCGTCTGCGCGTGGAGCTCGTGGTCCAGCTGGGCAGCCTGCAGCACTTCCTGTGGGCAGGGCCAGAGAACCAGATACAGGTGAGGTAGTGGACTCTCTGTGTTGGGTTGGGAGTTTGCATTACGTGCCAGTAAAGCACTGTAGGGTAGGGGTAAAGAAGGATTCGTTCTTTAGAAGCTCTCCTGCAGAATCAACTCTCCCAGCAACAAAAGATTAGTCTGTTAACTGAAAGTGGGAATACCCTGGATCTGCAGTCTTCTACTATCATTTGAAGTACAAGTTGAATGCAATGTGTCTTTGAACTTATGACACTTTGCATTATAGTTACTTCTGTTGGTACCATCTCTGTTAGGCGGAGACGGTGATAGATGGTTTCTTTGCTGAGTCTGTGTCATACGTTGTGTCAGATCCCGGGTCCCAGAGACCGAAGGAGTAGACTGCAACTTTGAGGAGGTTCAGCACAAACCGTGCAACCCTGGACTCTGCCCCCCTCTCTGCCTACACGAGGAACAGGAACTCAGAGTGGGAGACACCTGGCTGCAGGGAGAGTGTCAGCAATGGTGAGATGGAAGAGGAGGAATGTTCGGAGCCGGGACCAGCAGAGGGCGTTTCTGCTCATGCATCAACATTTGTTCATGTTTTTCCATGCTCTGTTTTCTTTCTCAGCATTTGTACCCCAGAGGGAATCTACTGCCAAGACATCGACTGCAGAGGTAGACAGTAGATTCACTGTAATGATGACATAAAGAAAGGGGAACGGTGTACAATAATGTTGAGTTGTAACCTGGTTAGTTTGTCATTGAATTGCATTCGTGCTGCACTGTGACCAGTTAAGTTTTCACAAATACCACATTGTGCTTCTCAGGCTCTAATGCCAGAAAAAGTAAAGACAATCCAAACTTTGTGAGCTCACTAATAGAACCAGACTCTCATAAATCTTAAGCTGATGGGCCCAGTTTGGTTGGGTAGAACTGACTAAATCAGTTCTGATCGATGCAGTCACATTCTCAGTCACCTCGTCTTGTCCATTTGTTGCATTTTTCTTGCCATATCCATACGTTTCTCTACAGTAGTTCTTTTTTAATGTGAGTGTGATGCCTCCAGATAGAATTGGGGGGAATTCCCCCATGTCTAAAACTCTGATACCTCAGGAAATGGTGGCTGCCCGGATGCTTTGTGTTTGCAGTTGACGGTGCCTGGACGCCCTGGTCAGTGTGGTCCGACTGCTCAGCGACCTGCAGCCAGGGGACGCGGGTCAGAACCCGAGCCTGCATCAACCCCCCGCCACGAAACAACGGCTCTCACTGCAGCGGAGCGGCCAGAGAAACGCAGCACTGTCAGACGCCGCCGTGTCTGGGTTGGTTACACACCGGGGGCGTCAAACTCATTTTGGGCCATATCTAGATCATGAAAGTCCTTAAAGAGCCGTTTGTGACAGAATGTGTAGATAAAACTCCCTATTGATAAATTGTTAAATTACAGCTTTCTCTGAATTCAGTTTGCAATTCTTAATAAGTAATATATAACATCTTTCCACATTTAAGTCATTTGGCCTGATTTGATTTGATTGATAATATTTAAGCAGATAACAGAAATCTTGAATTTGTGTTAATGTGGCTTCCTGAAGTTTAGAGGGCCACAAAAAATGGATATGGTGGACTGGTCCCATATCCAGCCCAGCATATCTGGATATTGGACCAGTTCTAGTAAACTAAAACGAGTCTAACGCGTTCCAGCTCACTAAAACACACCCTGACACCATACTGAACCTCTCAACCTGCCGCTGCTTCCTGTTTGGATGACTTCAAATATCAGCTCCCCACCTTTTATCTCTCTTTATTCCCTTCTAGATGACCTTTGCCCATGGTCGCCATGGTCACCGTGCTCCAGGAGCTGCGGCGCCGGGTCGGTGTGGCGACGCAGGGCGTGTGTGTGTGAGGAGGGAGGCGACGCAGCGTGCCCCCCTGAGGCCGAGGCCCTGAGGAACAGAGAGGAGACCCAGCTGTGTTACCAGCGACCGTGTCCCGGTACAGAGCCAGAAAAACCCTCAATAAGACCCTACTGTGATGTCATGAAGCTGCAAAGGAAGATTCATTTGCATTATTTTCAAATATTCCAAACATTATTTAGCTTTAGCTTTGCAATTTATTGTATTACCACGTCACAAGACACTGAGGAAAAACACAGGCAGAAATAAATGTCTGTAGAAGAACTCCTGTTGTTTTCCAGAATGTCCCATGTCCGCGTGGAGCGTTTGGTCTCGTTGCTCGTGCGAGTCTCAGAGGCAGCAGCGATACCGCGTAGCGCTCACCTCGGCCGCCGGGGGGCAGCAGTGCACTCCCGTAGAAACCCAGAGCCAGGCGTGCAGCCTCAGTCAGTGTGACGGTAAGTTAGGTTTTCTGGAGCGTCTCTTCAGAGTCTTCCCCGCTGTGTCTGATTGGGCGATTCTGTTTGCGTGGCGCTTTCTACGCTGTGAAGTTTGTGCACGGTAATAAAATGAAAGACTCGTATGAACGGTGGTGTCTCCCTGTTTGCAGGCTGCGAAGCCCCGTTTGTTCACTCTGCATGCGGAGCGCCGTGTGAGAAGCAGTGCGCTCTGATGGGCAGAGAAGATCTTTGTCTGGGGGTCAGAGAGTGCACACCTGGCTGCTACTGCCCTCAGGTCAACCTCTACTCTCTAACATGATTTAGAGAGTAGTTTGGTATATACAAACAAATGTTTGTATATAACATTTTATATACAAAATATAATACTGTATAAAGAAATGCATATGAAATTGTTTTGAAAAATTCACCTCATTTATATGAATTTAAATGAAGTTGAATTAATTTGACCATGAAATTAACTAGCCTTTAACAAAGGAAACTAATTTACAACAAAGATCCTTGTAGACAGAGGAGATAAAATATCAGTACATTTCTGCCCCTCTGCCCCCCAAAAGAATCAGAAATTTCGAGATTGACTTGTGAAATTTTTGACAGAAGGCTAAGGACAGTTTTGATCTTAAAAGTCAGAAATTAGCTAATTTTTTTATTATTTTTTTTATTTGAAATGTCAAAAAAAATATTTTTTAAATAAAGGACATTTCTATGTTTTTGACATTTTAGAAAACTTACAAAAATAAAAATGACCCATTTGGAATTGTACTTTTACCCTTCTTGAATGAAGTTGCATGAAAGAAAACAAATGGTTCACGGACTCCGTTGTCTTTCTCCTTCCAGGGCCTGCTGCAGCAGAACGGCAGCTGCGTTCCTCTGCAGCAGTGTGGCTGCATGTTTCTGTGGCCCCAGGCTTCAGAGGAACCTCCCACACCCACTGTTGTCCCTCAAGGGGCCACGGTCACTGTAGACTGCAGCACCTGGTTAGAGCCACATTTTGTTTAGCATTATTTGTTGTGCAGAAAGATAGATGTCTATAGCAACCTAAAATGCACCACTGATATTGTTGCTGCAGCTGAGGGATTTCATTAACCATCTATGGCTAAAGTTGTTGGAGTTAACTGAAACTAAAGAAATAACAAAAACTGAAAACATTTTTTCATTTACTGCACTAAATAAAAATTATGATTAACGGGGAAAACTATGACTAACTGAAACTATACTGTGTGTTTTATAAAATTAACTAAAACATACTGAAATTATACATATAATTTTTTTTTAAATTGATTTATTTTTTCCACACATGCAGTTTATTTCCACTAACAGTACTCACATCAATCTGCACAATGGCGGCAGCAGAAATTCGGAGGAAACACCAGATTGTTGGTTCATTAGCAATAATTGAATGGATTTTTTTTTAATTACCCAATCAGTGTATGCATAATAACAATACAATACTTTGACCTTTTTGAATTCTGCACCAAAACCAATTAAAGTATGAAAAAAGCTAAAACTGCAACTGTAACTAATAAAAACTAAAGTGAAACTAGACAATATTTAGCTAAAATTGGCAAACACACCATAAAAACTAACTAAAAAACCTGAGTTAGACAAGAAGTCACAATGAAATGAAACTAAACAATATTGAAAAGCTCCAAACTATTATCACCCTGCAGTTCCTACTAACTCACTTTATCTTTTGTTATCTTGTCATCATGTTTTTTTCCTGTCTTCCAGCCTGTGCCATGATGGGACTTTACATTGTGACATGAGAGAGTGTGAAGGTAAGAAAACCGAATGCCTCAACGATCCCCCTCCCATCAAACCACTGGGTACTCCGTCCGGATCGTTCCTCTTCCAGTGGTCCTCAGTGAGTGGTCCCAGTGGACCCCCTGCTCTCCCTGCATGCCCCTGGCCTCCCTGCAGCTTGCTCCGTCCCTGGAGGCGCTCGTCAACGGCACCAACCTGGCCTCCGTCCAGAGACGTTTCCGGGCCTGCCTGGACATCGATTCGGGTCTCCCTATCAAGAGAGAGGAGGAGAGCCGATGTCTGGGGCCCCTGGTGGAGGACAGGCTCTGTCCAGATGCTGCCGTCTGCAGAGGTGATGCTGTTCATTCAGGAGGACGTCGCACATCACAGCCACATGTTCTTTTTTTTTGTGTATTTATTTTATTCTGCCAGAATATTTTTTGTTTTGTTTTACGCCACATTGAGGGAATGTTTGGTTTTGCTGACTCGGGAAACATGTCAGAGTCTGACGAGCAAAACATTCCAGAAAAAAACACTTCATCCAGTCGATGTAGTGATGAAACCCACCTGGTGTGTTGCTTTCATAAAAAAAAAAACCTAAAGCTGGGTCACTGACAGCGCCGTCGCACAACGACATGCCTTGGGAAGGTCACTCAGGGTCCATCACCACTGTTAGCAACACACACTGTACGATGAAACAGCTTCTGATTCACAGTTAATTGTGCTGGTCACAAAAACACACTAATGTTTGTGATTCAGTGTGATAAAGACAGATTAATAGAGTTTGGTGTGTGAATATTTCAGCAAAGTCAACTTCCCTTTAAGTTACATCAACAAGTTTTATGTCTGAGTTATTAGAATGAAATTATTTCAAATTTTCTTGAAATATTTCAAATGACTCAGCACTGATCAGTGGCTGTCTTTACGCCAGATGCATCTAATGAACAGAAAACTCATGACTTGCATGTAAATGTGTTCTCTGAGCGTCTGAACCGTCAGGAGAACGGCCATTGAAACAAATGGCCGTGTTGCTGCAGCAGAGCGTTCCATCACTTCCACAGCAGTTATTGTGATTATCACAGAGGGTGTGATGAGACTCCCGGCAGACTTCATGGTGGTTGTGCTAACGGCTGTGCTGTTCCAGATCTGTGCCACTGGAGTGTGTGGAGTGTTTGGACAGCGTGCGCACAACCGTGCAGCGGCGGAGTCAGGCAGCGCTACAGGCGACCCCTGGCCTCCCCGGCGGGGCCCCACTGCAGGAGCCAGCAGACGCAGAGCCAGAGCTGTAACACTGGACTCTGTCCAGGTACAGCCACGTTATTCCTTCTGTTCCCAAACAAACCGAAAATGTTCTGTAAAGGCTCCATAAAAGGTCCAAAAATAAAAAGGATTCAGCCAGATTTCCCAGTGTCTGCCAGCTTAGACACGAATGCTTGTGACTGATTTTATTTCAGGAGAAATTATTCTACATATGCTTCATATTTATGACAACTTGCCAAACTAAAGTGATGATCATCTACAAGAACAAAAGCAGAACATTAAAAGGAGAAAAATGTAGAGCAAATATTCAGTCACTTAATATGAATTCATCACAATGCAGTGCAAAAAATATGAGAAATATTTGTTTGAACTGTTTGAAAGTTTTTTTTCATTTCAGTAACATAAATTAGAAGAAAATTAAGAAAATGACATGAAGGTTGCTTTTTTTATGTCTCTATTATTGTCAGTTATTCATCTAGTTGCCTTCTAAAATCAAATGATCAAAACTTTAAGTTTAGCTTTCTTTTAATCGCAGCTTATTGGTCAGATTAAAAAGTGTAAAGCCGGAAACTGAATCTGTCACATGGCTTTCATGTGAAACAACAACCAAAGACATAGATTTTTAAGAACATGAATAGGGTGCACAAGTTTGAATTCATTGTGGATTTTCTTTAATCCACAAACATAGCTGATGGATTCCTGTTATTTAGCAAGATACACAGAAAAAGGACTTTGGTAGCTATTAACTAACTTCTGGCATAACTTTAATTAGCTGAAGCCTTTCAATTTCCTTTTGGCAGAAAGAAAATTGATTGCTTTCTTGGCTTGAGCTGTTAAAGGTCTGGTTTTGTTGTTGATTATGGTCTTACATGGTTTTAAACTTTCAATGATGCCGAAGTTGGAGCAATTCGAGAAATGTAATGTTAGTCCATAACTCACCCATTCCAAAATCAGCTCGGATGTGAGTATCTGTGCTTCAGCTGCAATGCAAATCCTATAAATCTGTAGTTCCTCCTTTAAAGTTCCTGTTGCATAAAGAAAACTTCTACAAGCATCACCCACATCACTGCTGTTCTTAATGAGGTAGAACATTTTAATTCAGCTTTTAACAAGCAGCATTAATTTGAATCTGTTGTAACAAAATTAAATCAAGACTGGGACATTTTCTGCCTCTGCATCTCATTTAGCAACAAGGAATAATTAAGTCATTCACTATTTTTCATCTTTAAAATATTTCAGAGGAACTATTTCTCTCCTTTGACTTTAAATTTGGGTTTTAGTATCTTTTAAAATAAATAAATAAATAAAAAACTGATAAAGTGCTGAATTACATATATTTGCTTTCTAGAAGAAATTGACAATCCTGCAGTTGTCATGGATACCCTCATTAAAATGAGGCAGAGAGCCCAATATGGCCTGTAACAAAATGACAGCAGTTTAGTCATAAATGAAATTACAGAGCAGAGTCACCATGCGACACTTCAGCTCACAGCATAATAAGCCTTGTAGCTTCATAGTTCATGACACAGTATGTGCAGTTTTTGTAACTCAGGGCTTCATCCTATCAGGATCTAATGTTTATAACGGAAATGTGTTTTTTAAACTATTATTTTGAAACAGTTGTCACATTTGTACTTGTATAAATGCCGAGAAGCAGCTTCTACAATTCAGAAAGCAACTTAACATTGCAGAACAACACTGATTCGCAGTATGTAATTTGAATATATTTGCTAGATAAACAATTGCACTATGCAAAGCTTTTTTTTTTTTTTTTTTTTTTTTTGGATTGAACTATGCTTTTGATGACGGTGATCAAAGCTGACATGTCTTTTGCTGGTTACTGGCATTGAAGAAATAAATCATGTCTTGTCAGGAATTATAATTAGCTAAAACGCTGGTAGAGAACCTGAGAGATTCTTCATCCTACACACCAGCCTGTGTCAGAAGCTTAGCAGTCTGCTTTGAAGTAAGATTCAGGGTAATGAATGGTGGCTCCGGACCTTTTCCACTACTCCTAATTAACCTTTCTGCACTGTGGACGCTTAAGTTTATGCCATGCAAAAAGAAAGAAACAAACAAACAAAAAAAAAACACAACATAAAGTAATACTAGTTGCTCTTTGGTTTGTCCAACATTGAAGCAGCATGAAGAACAGCACTTTCAGCCAACAGGCAGAACATTTGGTGGGTTTTGTTCGTCACCGAGTCGTTTTGGAGCTAGCAGACGGAGGTCTGGTGGTAAACAGTTTCTGTCAGACTGTGAGGCAGCTGTTCGCCTCGGCGCAACTCTTCTCCAGCAGGGACAATCCTCATTAGTTTAGTTTTGAACAGAATCCTCAATCGAGAGGCTTAATCAGAGATGGACTGATCAAAAGGGAAAGGAATTAAATCATGAGATGGTTTCTGTACATATTGCAGGACGTGAGCAGCTTACAAATCAAGTCTGGATCTCATTTAGTTTATGTACTAGTGGAAGTGCTCTGGATAATTCAAACTATCTCAGAGACTTTGATATCTTTTAAAAACTTTAATACAAGGAAGTACAAGAGAAGCATTCAGAATATCTTCTGCTGCACCTGCAGAATCAGAGGATATCACACCATGAGTGACAGCTGATGCTTTAAAACAGGATTTTACTGTTTCAAAACTGAGACAAAAGTTTACATTTTGACCTTTTTAAGCCGTCTTTATCATTTTACAGTAGCAATCACTATGATCGACACAACTAGCATTTAAAAACCAGCAGTCTCTCTCTGTGTATATTTTAGAGTTGACCAAGTTCAGTCCTCAAGGTCAGCCATCCTGCAACTTTTAGATGTGTCCATTTTCCAACACAGCAGAATCGAATGAAAGGTCTTCAGAGCTGAAAATCCTTCTGATGAGGGGACTCAGCCTTTTGATTGGGAAACGGAACATGCAGGATTCTGGGCCATGAGGACTGACTGGACACCACTGGATCTGGACAGCGGTTTCCTCCAGCATTTCTGAATCCAGCATTTTCCATAACAGCTCAAAGTAATTTTAATCTACTTAAACAAGTGAAACTGGGATCTTCTGGGAGAAGAACCAGACAAAAGTTACATTTTTGACTCATAAATCTTCAATACTTGTCCTTATAAGACTAATATGTATTTTCTACTTTAATTTCTGGAATAGTAAGAGAACCTTCTTCCTATGGATGATCAGGATCTCTGGATGATCACTAGTATGTATCGTTCTAAAACATAACATCCTGGCCTGTATCTCAGGTGAGCGCTGTGAGGACAGGCAGCGGATCTACCAGGAGAACTGTGCTAATCGCTGTCCTCGCAGCTGTGCAGACTTGTGGGAGCATGTGCAATGTCTGCAAGGCAGCTGTCACTCAGGTGAAAATCAAAGCTAACGTTTCCTTAACATCAAACTACAAGAACATGCTTAATTGTTGTTTGATTATTTCTTTCCCGTTTAATCTTTTCCGTGTTGTCAGGCTGTCGATGTCCTGATGGCCAGTTGCTGCAGGACGGCCGCTGTGTCCCGGTGAGCCAGTGTCGCTGTGGAATCCCATCAGCCAATGGGACTGCAGAGTTCAGCCCTGAAGAGGAGCTTGTTATTGAATGCAACACTTGGTGAGAACAGCTCTCTGTGACGAGGATTCTTGATCTTCAAAGGTCAAACCTGTAACAATGAGATGACTACAGAACCGAATTGATTTGAAGAACCTCGATTCGTACGTTGTGTTTGTATATTTTCTGTGTAAGAAAATATAGAAAATATTTTCTGTGTGAGCCTCTCCCGTCCCTCTCTGTGGGCAGTGTGTGTGAGAACGGCACTCTGGTGTGCACCGCGATTCCCTGTCCGGTTTATCAACCTTGGAGCCCGTGGAGCTCCTGCTCCGTGTCCTGTGGACCCGGACAAAGAACCAGGACACGGAGCTGCCAGGACGCACAGGGCGGTCCCCCCTGTGCTGCCACCAGCCAAACTGAGAACTGCCATCTGCCATCCTGTCCAGGTCTGCAGCAGTTTCAAGCTCTCATGATACACCACCTCCATTCCCTTTGGTGTTAAAGTTTTATCGATCCGACTCCTTCATTCCCTCAGAGGGCTGTTTGTTAAGTGAGTGGTCATCCTGGAGCGAATGCAGCAGCACGTGTGGCGGAGGAGTGTCAACACGGAACAAGACGATCCTTCAAGAAGCAGAGCCTGGTGGGGCGGTGTGTGTTGGTCCACTCAAACAGCAGACTGTCTGTAACACCAACAGCTGCTTACCTGGTAAAGCAAACACACACACACACACACACACACACACACACACACACACACCCCCCCCACACACACACACACACACACACACACACACACTGAGAGAGAAAGATGCACATTGTATGACAGACAGAGAAGCAGTGTCAGAGTTAAAAATGGAAGGAGAAGCTAAGTCTTAAACACTACATGCAGTCTGACTGAGTTAGAAATATCTTGCAACGAAGAGCAGACAAGAATAAAGTCTATCAATGTGCAAAGAAGGTCCAGCTTTGATGAAGTGGTTCTACAGAATTATTGCCTCATGGGAGTTCAGTACGAATGAAGCCCACTTTTCAGATTCTGCATTTCATTGGGTTGCTTCTAATTCTATACGTATAGCCGGACGCAGGTCGTAAAATGAAAAGGAATGATGAATAGTTCTGCACGGCACATTATCCGACTCTGCTTGTGACATTGTACAATTTGCTTTGCTGTTAAAGATAAATACATTAAAGGGGCATTCACACCTCCGCTGTTTAGTCTGCTTTACTCCAGTTTGTTTGCTTAGAGTTGTTTGTGGAGGAACAATCGAACTCTGGTGGAACCAACAGAAGTGAACTCTGGTCTGCCTAGTATCATAGGTTTCTGTTCGGTTGAAGTGAACTCTGTTGCTGTTCGAATGTGTATGTGAATGCCAATCAAGCCTTAAAGCGGTCCAACAGCAGGAAGCAGACTATAGCACAGTGCATTCTGGGTAACTAATGCGTAAATGGAGAAATGTTTAGCATTTTTCTGCTGGTGAAGAAGGAAGCTGCACTCTGTGTCGTCTTCAGAGGTTTATATGTCGTTTCCTTCAGTGGGTCTTGGCGCAGCGCCACCACAGGCGAGGAGGTGAACAGGTTTGTCAAAGGGTTTGGTTCATTTGACTCGGTTCAGTGTGGAAGTGAACCACAGCAGCTGAAAACGTAACAAATGCTGCAGTTTTGAACTGAGGCTAGCAGCTGTGAAAACACACTCACTGTATGTCTCCGTTTTTATTCCCGGCTGTTGACGTATCCCGTCTTGTGTGTTGCAGAGTGTCCCAACAGCCAGGTTTACAGCAACTGTTCAGCTTCTTGTCCTTTCACATGTGAGGACCTGTGGCCACACACCGAGTGCTTGCCTGCACCCTGTACCTCCGGCTGTTCTTGTCCTCCTGGACAGGTCCGGACATCCCTTTGTCTCCAGGTGTTTGTGTGTTTTATCCAGCTCCTCTATCGCTGTCTGTTACCATCTCATTGTGTCTTTGCTAGGTGTTGTATGAGGGCTCCTGTGTGCCTCACGCAGACTGTCCCTGTTCGTCACTCTCTTTGCCACCTGAATACCAAAGCTGGAACACAAGCGGCGAGGGCTTTACGGAGGTTCTGCTGCAGCCTGGAACAGTTATTCAGCACCGCTGCAACACATGGTGAGAGACAGGCAGAGGTGTTGATTACCAAAATGCTTAAACAGGATCTTTTGTGGACATAATCAAAAAACTAGTCTTGGTAAAAGACGGTAAACTCTTTTAATGTCTTTTTGAGTTTTATTTATTTAACTTAAGGTGACTTAAGAAAAAAATTGTATTTACAATACAACCCAGTGACTTCGCTCTTATATTTGATTTGACATTGTTCTGTTTTATATTGTGTCAGATAAGTGAATCTCTAAAATGAATCCAGGATTCTGAGGAGAGCGGTGTTCCTATGTCCGCTAATGAAAATCTCCAAATTTTGATTAAACAAGTGATGCAATCCATTCATCCTTTGTCACCATTTTCTTAAAGCACAAACTTATTGCCAGGCTAAATATTTTTATTTAAGGGCCAGGGCTGCAGTTACAGCACATATTTATAATGATAAATGCAAAAAAAAACCTCTCGATTAATTTATGAAGATAAAACAAATCTAAGGGATCTACTGAAGAGAAAACTAAGGGATCTACTGAGATCATTTCTGGTCTTCGGTATGTGGACAGATGTTTTGCGTGGTGTTTCACTGTTCTTTATTTTAAAAAGCAATAGTTAGTGAGATCTTCTCTTTCTGCTGATTGAGTCACTGACGAGTTTCTCCTCCTCTCAGTGTTTGTCAAAGCGGAGCATTCAGCTGCACCTCAGAGAGCTGCGAAGGTGAGTGAAGCTCTTCAACAACTTCCACAAACTTTCCACTAAAAAACAATAACCATGTCTGGCTGAACTCTCAGCGCTATAATGGATTAGATATTTTACTGTATGGATAATTACTCCCAGCTGTTAGTGAGCTGCAGCCGCATCAGTCACAGCTTATGAGAGCCATTACTGGCGTTTTGGTTTTGGAAAAGGATCATGACAAGTCTTTTAATGTTGTTATGAAGTTTTAGGGTGGCATAAAACCACAACTTTTTACTTATATTTATATAACGTCCAACTGCTTTTAACTTGTTGCAGGAAGGTAACTGTTGAGAATGTGTCATAAAACCAGCTGTGGGTCTCGATGAAAATTATTCCATTTTGTTCCAGCCGGTTTTTATGCAAATCATATTTGGTGACAAAGAAACGGAATGAAATGTAACAATGAAGTCAGAGATGACAAACAGTTGCTGTAGTTGTGCAACGTGAAACGGACAGAAAGGATCAAAAATGATTTCTGTTCCTTTGCAACACCTGACATTTTCATTGATTTGAGCTCCTGCTTCACCGTTTTTCCCAGCTGGTGTTGCAGTTGAAGAATGGCTTTAATTTTAGGCGGCCGCAGATTTTTCATTATAATTGTGCCGGAGCTTTATTTTTCATGCAAGTGAATTTGCTCAGATGACAGCTTTCATTCATTTTCTGCAACGGGTAAATTAAAGTCTGAGTGAAGCAGAGGAAAATCACGGTCTCCGTTTGTCACGCCGCATAAAGATGTGGTTACCGAACAATGACCATGACGTGTTTCACTTTGCAACAACGCGAGTTTACTGATGGGATTAAAATTAAGGAGGAAAAAGAATGAAGATGCAGACAGGATCAGAAGTCTGCGGAGTGATAATGAATTGGTAGGCAGAAGAAAGTTCAGGGTGATGGGATGGGGGGATGAGGGGCTCACAGAAAGCCAATGCTTTGGCTGACTCAGCAGTGTCACATCAGGGAAAATGGAAAGCAGCATAAAGAAAAAAGTGGTTATTTATCTCTTTTCATCTCTTTTTCTTGTACAAGATGGGATGAAGAAAATTAGCACATTTTTATATTAATTGTAAAACATGACTTTTTGGATTCTTAAAGGTGTACGTGGCTCATTCAGGGACTTTGGAAATTTTTTTTTGCATTTTTTTCAAGACACGGTTGTGAAAAGTAAAATACTGACATTGAAAGGTTTGACAGCATTTAAAGATGCGTTGAAACCCCGGGCTTATTAAATCCAAACTTTGTTGTTTGATAAACAACATTTGTTTAAAATCTCACCATTTTCTAACAGTATAAAATGAAGCATATAAACTGTTTACAGAGGGATCTCTTCCACCTCCTCTCTGAGCTGCCATAGCCATCTGAATAAATTCACCAGCCAATCAGAGCCAGGAGGAGGGGTTTAGTACTGTCAATTATTTTAATGGACGTGTTGCTAAAAATGGCAGAAACAAACTCACCATTACAGGAAAATATTTTATCTTCCGTCATCACAAGCTATGCTAACTTGATTTAGCGTTCTAGATTCTTATCTGGAAGAATCTGTAGCAGAGCAGAGAAGAGGGGAGGCAAGCTTGATTGACAGTGTTAAGTCCCGCCCCCTCCACTCTGATTGGTTGTTTCTCATTAATACTGGGTGAAGGCAGAAGATCTTGATTTTTTTTTTTCACATATTTTCTGTCACATACTATACTGTCACGATATGCGGTAAGTTTCAACAAATATGTAGAAAACAAACATTACATGCTGCAGATCGAACTGCTTCATGCTGCATTTAAATATTTGTCAATATTTGACCTAAACATACTGCGTGAAGTTGTTCTGACCCGCCTGGCTCTGCCCTCGTCCAGTGGCCTGCCAGTGGTCCAGCTGGTCGCCATGGAGTCCATGCTCGGCCAGCTGTGGTACCGGCCAGCAAAGCTCCACCAGACGGGTTCTGCAGCCCAGCCTGTACGGCGGAGCCCCGTGTGACGGACTGAACATCAGGAGTATGGCCTGCGAAGCTCCTGACTGCGGTGAGTGAACGCAGCGGAGAGGAGTGATGTTCAACAGATGGCCACTCCTGAAGACGTTTAAAGATGTCTGAAGCGTAGACTTTGGAACATCGCCTTACAGAAGCATTCATACTTGTTGAACTTTTTCACATTTTTTCACCGAAATCTGAAAGATGGAGCCTGTATTTATGTTTAGCCCCACTTTGTAGAGGACCAAAAGGGACATAGTTGGATGAATAAATACATCTTTAATTCTATACAATCAATTCTTTGACTTTATCCACTATCTGTGTGAATGATAGTATCCTTCTTCTGTTGTTTCCTAATTGTAAAACCTCTCCAAAGACAATCCTCCATTACAAGAACCGCCAAGCTTTTTAAAGACTCAGTCTAAAGTCGAGGAGTTCAGTGGATCAGTTTAAAAAAAGGGCTTGTGGAGACCAATGCACCAGACTGAAGAGTTTCAGCTTTCAGTTTTTGGTAGAAACGAAAACAATGATAAATTTTGCAAATGGAAATTATTGAGCTCGTTTTAATTGATCATGTCATTAATTGTTTGTTGCAACAGGCAACAACCCTGGAAAATAATCTTGACCTGAAACCTGGTGGAGTTTCATCTTCCAGCAAACATGCAGCTAAACATGCTGACATGGCTGCAGCCCAACACTGGCTCAGTCAAAGGCCAGACCAAAATCTAGCTCAGGATTGGAAGCTAGGCTTAAAAACTGGGGGTTCAATAAATCTGGCCCAATTTTCTAAATTTTGGTGATCAGCTGATAGTTCCATCTGAAGCTGATCTCATCCATCTCTCCGTTTGAGATTTTTCGATAAAACAAACAACGATTTCAGTCTCTCCATGTCCAAAGCTGGTAGAGATGTATCCAGAAGTGGAACAGCTGGGAGGGATTTTCTTCACCTTCCTTCCTTTCCCTCCCTGTCACCCTGTGCAGCGTGTCCCAACGGGGAGCGGTGGAGGCGGAGCCGCCTGGAGGAGGAGGAGGCCCCGCCGTGTGAGAGGAGCTGTGGGGACATTTACTCCACACCCCCCACCGCCTGCGGCCGCTCGGCCGGGGGCTGCGTGTGTGTGGAGGGACTGTACCGAAACCCGGCGGGCGCCTGTGTCATCCCCGCCCTCTGCCCCTGCCACGACCAGGGCGTCCTGCGAGAGGTACACACACACGCACACACACCTCACACCGGAGGTAATCAGACAGCTGGTGGCCAATGAAGCTGGCAGCTTGGTCCCGTTTTAACCGTGTGACTGTGCAGTGTGTGCATTTCGTCCGCATCCTGGTGTTTACTCATAAAGAAGAAGAACAAGAAGAGCCTGTTATAAGATGAGCGATCAGGCTCAGGGGCCACATTACACCACAAGGCCTCTCCGTCCCCGCAGCCTCATCCATTATGCAGCGGGGCCCCGTGGAAAGCCTGTTCTCCGGCTGCAACCGGGCAAACCTGCCAGGAATTATTCATGAAGGAAGGGATATTAGAGCGTTGCTGAATTAATCACACACTGACAAGAGTTCTGCTACCCTCACCTTGATCAGTCTTACTTCTTTTTTTCCCTCTTTTCTTACAGTTCAGCTTTATTTCTTTTGTGGAACAGCTGATTCTTTCCCTCTGTGCTCTCAGTCTTTCAGTCTGTATTCCTGCTTTCTGTCACATAGGCTTGACTCATGTTCTTATGAAGTTTTTTTTTTTCATTAACCTGTTACATTGTACAGCTTAGTGTAAGCAGAAACGTCTGATGAGGGAAACTTGTAATAAATAATAATTAAGATTGAAATGAATGGAACTGGCTCTGATTTTGAGTATATAACTGGTCTGTAAGTTCTATTAAGACCTGATTAGATTTAACATAATCCGTAAAACTGGATCAGTTTCTCACGTAGTATGGGACTTTTACAAGCATTGTTTTTTTTGTTTGTTTGTTTTTTACATATTTGTTAAAACTATCACTACGTGGTCACAGTGTAGCATGAGACATATATTCTGTGAAAAAAACTCTAGCTATGTGCGGTCAGACTGCCATCTGCAGAAAAAAACATAATAAAAAGAAAATAAATTACTGAAAGTGGTAAAGAACTGTATATAATGGAGCATAAAAAATGTCAGGTCAGTACCTATTAAATGTCTTACAAAATCCCTCAGGGATCCACTGAACCACAGCCCTTTCTTATATTTGTAAAGTTGAATAACTTGAGTTAAATGTAGAACTCCTATTTTCACTGACAATGGTTAAAATGAAAATCGTGGGCTCCAGAAAAATGAAAGCAGAAAAGCTGCGTTTGGGAATGAAAATGAATTTTGTAGCTTCCTCTTTACATGAAACAGCCTTAGAAAAACCTTTTGTCAAGAAAAACAGGGCCGCTTCACTGTCTGGGAAAATCAAACGCCTCAACCAGACCGCCACAAAACACTTCAGGCTCCAATAGATGTTAAGTAGGCCAATGCACAGTATTAGGTTATGATTGTTATGATTCACACAAGGTTTTTTGATAATTAATGACTCCACACAAACATTAACCAAGAGTGGCAGAAATGTTGTTTATTTTCTATCCTTATAAAAACAGCAAAGAAAAACTTAGATTTTACTAGTGAATGTATTAATGTGTGTTGTTTTCTGTGTGTTTCCTGTGTGTGTGGGTGTGTGTGTGTGTGCGGGTGTGTGTGTGCGTGCGTGTGCGTGTGTGTGTGTGTGTGTGTGCGTGTGCGTGTGTGCGTGTGTGTGTGTGTGTGTGTGTGTGTGTGTGTGTGTGTGTGTGTGTGAGGCAGGCGGGGTCGGAGTGGGAAGAGGGCTGTCTTTCATGCAGCTGTGTGAACGGGAGGACGCTGTGCCAGGTGAAGTGTCCTCCACTTTACTGCGAAGAGGTGAGAGCCAGAAATGAATAAAAGATTTGCATAACCAGGTCATGTGCTGCCAATGCTAATATCGTTTCTCCAAAATGTTCACAGTTAGAACATTAGATTTTCCTTTACATCAGGTGCAACACTGGGCTTATGCCAAATATTTCAAAATACATCCTTTCAACAACCTTACTGAACCCATTCAGCCATAACAGAGCAGAAACAACATGAATAATTTGTCAATACTACATCATTTATATGTATTTGAACACTAATTAGCTCAAGCAGCAGTAAAATAACAAAGTACATGCTGCCATTTACTGAGCTGAATGTCACTCACCAGGCTGCGGTCTCCGTTTTATTTTGTTCCAACATGTTTCTACAATAAAGTCTTGTGGTTCTAAATCTAAATTATGCAGGAACCAGGACACAGTGCATCTTGCACTGACAGATTTGTGAAACCAGCTCGCCCCCACCATCTGACCATGACTACTGCAGGTTTTTCCTAACTGGGAATGGGAGAAAAAATCAAGCAAGAAATCACGTTTTTTTCTTTAAGTCTAGGAAATTATTCCAAACTGTAAACAAGAGCAGACCTTTTGGTAATTCATCTATCTTAAAGTACATTTTATATGGGTAAAAAACAACAGCAGAGAATAAAACCGTCGCAATCTGATAAAGATGCTCAGATGTAAATATGGACTTTCACTCTATTTCAGACAAAATATGATAAATGAAGCAGAACTAATTCATTATGATGTAAATTTAATGCAGAATGCTTAGGTATTGAGCAGTAAACATGATTTTCTTGTTAAGGATCAACACGACCAAAGTGAGAGAAAACATTGGAAACATTGTCAGACCTAGACCGGTAAAATCCATCTCAATACTGTGTATTGAAGTCAGAATAAAGATTTTTAGTTTGTACTCAAAACACAGGTGGCCCAGAGAAAAAGGTGCACCGAGTCTTTCAAAGACATGTTCTGCCATGACCTCAGAATGGAACAGTCCATGTAAAGTCTCTGGTAGTCTGGTGGCCGTGGCTAAAATGACCCGTCTCCCCTGAAGGGGAAGGAAGACGACCTCTCTGGCTGAAGCAGATCAATACCAGACTTAACTGTTCTCCTTACTGTCTCGGTTCCTGTAAAGCACCGTCTTTACTTCATGAGATTAGTTCAGTTTCAGACTAATTTAACCAACATTTGATTAAAGCTGAAAGCTTCAAGTTTTATTCTCCTATCCAATGACGATGATCACCCCACCAGGAACTGGAACTGATTGCCTTGTATCAAACAATGTAGTTCGATTTTCTTCCATGTTACTTATTCTTTTTTTTTTAAAAGAAATACTCAAGTTCTTTTTTGAGGAGTTCTTTTGTATTGGTTTACTCCAGATAAACTCCTCTTCTTTAACAGAGCTATTAATGTTATCATTTGATGCTAGAGTTGTCTCAACTTGTTCAGTTTTTTGTCAGCTACATTATGACACTGTGAGTCAGGCCAGATTCAAACATTACATCAAATTTCCTACAGCTCTGTCCCAACCAACATGGGACAGCAAGCTGGAAGTTAGTTGCGCTAACCCTGAAACACTGATCATGAACATTAGTTCTGCTAACAGGAAAGTGCTATATCATCACAGTATTTAGCAAAAGCTAATTCTAAAACACTGAAGCGCTAAATCTAACCATGGTTGCATGTTTTAGGCTACGACGTGGTACGTCAACCTCAACAGAAACAAATTTGTCATTGCACACCTACCTGCAAGTTTAGATGAAACGAGGACAAAATCTAACTTTTCAGGTCTCATAAAAAAATTTCCCCTTGGAGAGCAAGTTCAAAATAAGCCACAGCAGGCAAAATCTGCCATCTCATTCTTGACACTGTGACCTGAATAGGTATTTTTAGCTCATGGTTGTTGTACGTAGGCAGTGATGAAAGTAAATGGGGCTGACACTCAAAATCCTTCCTGTTTTCTCTGAGTTATGCCTCCGTGAAGTTACACCTCAGTCGGTACGGAAAGGTCATTTAATGCCCGTTGGTTTCCGTCTCAACACTGCTTTCTGTCAGCATGCAGTGATTTATGAGTCGGCTTTGAGCTCCTTGTTCTGGGTAGTTTACTGAACGTGTCATCAAAGCTGGTGAGATAACCTGTCAGGAGGTTTTCCTCTCAAACACAGACTGCCACCCGTTAGATCCAGACACGGGTGATTGTACAACAAAGTCATTCGATGAGTTTTCAAAGGTCAAAAGACTCAAATGTAAGCATACAGCCTGAATATTATACTTTAATATTTAAACGTCCCTTAGCAAGATGCAGAGAAACTACAGATTCTTTTGTTGAAATCCACAAGCTGAGAGAACTAATTGTTTTCAATATAGTTAAGGTCATTCCAGAGTGTTGATCTCCCAAAGCCGGTGCTGATGTGTGTTTGGGATTATTTTATTCTATCCACGTTTTATCTTGCTACCTGGCAATTTGTGATAAACATAAAGAAGTTGGAGCTACTCTCCATTTCTTTTTAATATTCCTTCCTCTTTGTGTAACGTACCATTATGGACTGCACTGACCGGCCAGTCAACCGAACAAAGACACAACAAACAAGCAGAAGAATGTGAAGTGTTTTGTTTGGTAGACCCAGCAGCTGATTTGATTTTGGCTTGACTGAAGCTTTGGAGAGCTCATACATTCCTTCCTATTTGCTATGGCCTGGAAGGGAGCCACCGTACGAAGATATTAACTTTGTTCTTTTGTGACATCAGTCTCATTGTTAGTTTGTATGTGGTTGAAAGATCTGTAGATTGTTAAATTAAACAGAGGGTATTCTTGTTTTAATAAGACATTGTGTGTTGTATAAACCTTTTACCCATGAAAAGGAAGAGCTCCAATGCATTTTTATAAAGGCCAAAAGTAAATAACGATGAGCCCATGTAAAGTCCTGACTGGCATTGTAAGTATTTTACATTAACCTCTACAATTATTCCATTTTTCCCCACATTTTTCCGTATTAAGAACTCCAGAACCAGAACTGGTCTTGTAGCACAGAAGGAGATAAAAGGGTTTTTGGATGTGTGTGGATGTTTAGGTGCCACAGAGCAGTGAAGGATGCTGAGATGACTTTGGGATGTGGCAGCCACAATGCCAAAGTCTACTCTTAGACTTCCTCAGCAGCTTTTGTCAGCCCTGGGTATCACACAACACCACACATTTCATTGTCTGCATGGTGATTGTCCTGCATATCTTCTCCTTTGCAGTGTAATTCCTTCCCTCTGCGTGTTCCTACAGCCCTGTCTCCTTCGTACTATTTTTAGGCTCCTCATTTGTGTCTTGTTTTTGTCCCTTTTGCCATTTTCCACCCTGGTTTCTCTTACATAGCTGTCCTGCTATTGGGCCCAGCTTAGAAAAAGAAGAAAACAATATTGTCTTGTATTCTAGGATATGTCCTAGAATTTTTCTGAGAAAAGTCAACTACTTTTTTTTTTCCTTTTTGTGCAGTGTGACCCAAGACCAATTGAGCATTGGTCTATGGAAATATTCTGCCAGCTTTGTTCAGTCAACAGTAGCTGCAGTTGACATATTGAAAATAAATTCTTGTAATGGAAACAAGCTGCTTTTGAAAAAACTTGTCTCCTTGATAAAATGGTTGTGATTTCTTTGGTCGTATCGACATTGGTTGTTTTCCTAAAACATTAACGGAAGCACTTTTTTCACATCACACAAGTCACATGATCAACACCCAGATGTTACTACTGGCCCAGGCCATGAAGAAGATGATCACAGGAAGTAGTTGTAGGAGGATGATGCTACGGCATGTTTTTTAATGACTTATCGCGTGCACAAACTTTGTCCTGTGTGTTCCTCATTGCGTTTTGTACGTAATGGAAACACAGCAATTTTCACTTTGCGCACATTTGTAATGGAAATGCAGCTACTGTCTGCCTCACACAGAAACAGATAGCCATGCGCCCTGACTTTACAACTGACCAAAAATGAACAGGTAATCTAATCCAACCAAACTGATGAAATATAATCTAAAATGTTTGGAAAGTCTGAGAAAACACTGAACACTCCGACACAGACTTATGCAAGCAGAGGGAATCTCTGGCATCTTCCTAGCTGAAGGTCAACAAGTTCACTTTTCCAAATCAGGCAAAGTTTTAAACAGTTTTAAGTCCATTAAAACATCTGAGAAACATGGGACTGAAATTATGGCTGAAAAATCCCACAACAGGAAGAACACTGACACCAAAACATCTAACCACATACAGTATGCTGTATGTTCTCTCAAATACAAGCAGAGGCTCAATATTTTTGATTTTGATCAGATGATCACATTTAAGACACGACTAAGAAGAACCTGAAGCAGGTTTTTTGAAAAGGTGGTGGAATATTTGAATACAATGATCAAAAATTATATTTGTATGTAGCTGCATGATATTTAGGCCTGTCATGATAACACATTTCTGGATAAATTGTTCCAGAGGTTATTGTGATAAACAAAAATATTGTTGTTTTGAGACTATTTTTAAGTAATGTGATGGTGATGACAATAAAAATAATGCAACAGATCAGTAAACTTTAAATTCTGATGAACATTTAACATTGGAACTGGAAGACTTTGTAAATATACAAAATAATAAACAAAACAAATCAAATAAATATTGAATTCTTTGTAAACAAAATGGTCCTTCAAAATAAGGGTTAGTTGAGACTAAGGCACTAAACTCAAGAGTTTTACTATACAGCTTTTGGTAGAAAGAGACAAATGATAAATCATGGAAATTATTGTTTTCATTTATCATGTGATTAATTGATTAATTGATTTCTGTGACAGGCCTTCTATGACTTCAACATTTATGATATAGAATTCTGGTCTTCCTGTGGTTCCGTGGCCGACTGGATTGACCCCAATTTGCAGTTTTTAAAAGTTACACTGTAAAAAATAAAATAATAATAAAAAAATCTTCAGTAGACAATTTGAAAACTATGCTAAAGTAATCACCATCTCCTTCTCAGGGGGAAGTGAAAGTGGAGGAGCCAGGCAGCTGCTGTCCAGTCTGCAGAAAACAGTTCCCAGGTCAGTGCAACCTGCAGGAAGTTAGCGCTGTCATGGTAATCTGTGTCTCAATCGGCTCGTCAAATTCGCCGTCTCATCTTTCAACTCTTTGGGAGTTTGTACGGATTGCGACACAGAACAAAGCGGATGATGCTAATGTGAAGCAAACGGCTCTGACAAGCACATATTGAAACAGCCTTAACGGTGATGGCCTCCAATGCTCCATTCCTCATTCTTCATTTTCTAAAAGGGTAAAACCCGAGAGCTGCAGTCTCCAATTAGTGAGAGATTACATTATTTAGCCTACACTGGGGCTTTAATCTCTCCCTGTGGAAGAAATGTCACATGCTGTGAGGGCAAGGCAATGTCACTGAGCTCTCTGCTCTTCCTTCCTTCTATGCAGAAACTAAATGATTCTGTGCTTTTGCTGCATTTCGTTGTCTCTCTGTGTCCCCTTCTCCGCTGTTCTCGTCCTCATCTCTGTTTCCACCAGGTGAGCCTGAGGCGGAGTGCAGGCGCTACATCCAGGTCCGGAACATCACCAAGGGAGACTGTCGGCTTGACAACGTGGAGGTCAGCTTCTGCAGGGGACGCTGTCTGTCCTGGACTGATGTCATCATGGAGGTCTGGGCAGATAAGATGAACACACACACGTATATTGACAATCTTTCTGTGTGAACACATGACTGTTGTACTCACTACTATGAAATTTTATATTATTTAAATGTTGTATACTGGTGAATCCTGCTATATAAGGCGGGAAACTGAAGATCTGAGAATGTCATATAAAAAAGAGAAAAGACACAAAACTGCCTTTTGTGAAGTTGTTGATGTATAAAGGCATCAGAAAGTCTAAGACATGTTGCTGCCTTAACTACCTGAAAGAGACACAAGAACGGGTTGTCGACCAAATCTGGACAAAAGTTGAGCGACAGCAATTTTAAATGGCTTCCAAGACACATTTTTACTGATGAAACCATTCATACAAGAAAAGCTAGCATGACGGCACTTTTAGCTACAAAACAAGGGTCCTCTGTTTCTGTCTGGTTCTCATTTTACGACCTTCTTCCTCTCTCTTTTCTGTTGTTGTCCTCCCTCCTCTCCACATGCAGGAGCCCCACCTCCGCTCAGAGTGCGAGTGCTGCAGCTACAAGCTGGACCTGGTGAAACCGGTCCGCTTCCTTAACCTGCAGTGTGCGAGCGGAGAAAGTGAGCAGGTCTTCCTACCAGTCATTACCAGCTGCGAGTGCACCAGCTGCCACGGTGAGGAACACTGAGGGGGGATTTGCATATCTGTCTCTCATGTCGGTATGAAAATGAGGCATATGCTCAGACTGTGCACAAAAGAGAGAGTGCAGAGTGCTGACTTCTAGCCAACAACATGCTTTTCAAACAAATGGAAAGGTCAGAGATATTCTCTTGTAGACCATTGTTCTTCATAAAGCCACATTAATTATGCCTGTCTCTCATCTTTTTGAAGAAAGAGAAATTAAAGCTGTGAGGTAAAAATTTTTTTTGAAAATCTTATTATGGGAAGTTACAAAGAAACTGTTGACAGAATAATTTCCTACATAGTAAGACATATTTGTTAATAAAAACCCATTTAGGCTAATAAAAAAAATATCTAAGAAAAATGTAAAAGAACTGTTTAGCCACAAAGTTGCTAGGTAAAATGTCAAATGAAAGAAAAAATAAAGCTACAACATTGACTTTTCTTTTTCAAACTTTTCAAAGACTTAATTACTACTCAATAATTATATAACTCCACTCATGTTTCAGTCCAGTTATCCAATCAGCGCCTCAGGGCTCAAACATAAACATACAGTCACTGGTATTTTCATATATGTAGCCGATGCACATCCACTGATGTCCCAGTTAAACAGGGACTTCAGTGAAAGCAGAGCTCCGACCTCTGAAGGAGTTGCATGTTAATCCATTAATCAACCTGGTTAATTGCATCAGTTAATTGGAAAACATCACTCACCATCTCCCACAGCTACTCTGCTGCACGCATTACGCCTGACGGCTTCACTTTTAGGGACAATCCATCTCTAATGCACACACACACCCACGGTTGCACACACACACCCACGGTTGCACACATGCAGACTTCTATCACTCTAATGTGTGGACTTTCATTGACTTTCTTTCATTTCTCCAGCCTAACCTGGATCTTAAACTCAAACCTGAACACCTTTGAGTGTAAACCTAACAAAACCACAATTTATGTTTTTCTGTCACCAGAAGGTCCATATTTTATCCATCCCATTGCAGCTTTATTATTTTATTCATTTCTTATCAATGAGGGTACTACTGCAGTTTTGTTATTTTCTGGAAACATAATGACAAATAAAACACTTTATGTCTCATTTCCTATAGAAGCATGTGTGTGTGTGTGTGTTCCTACTCATATTAGGACTTGGTATTGACTTCCGTTCATTTTGGGCCTGTATCTATGCCTGACCCCAAAAGCCCCACTAATAACACCCAGTGCCAGTATATTCTTAATCCTAACCTTAACATCAATGTGTCCTTCAAGTCTTTCAGGTCAACAAAACAGAAACTGTAGGAAATCATGATGTTATAACCTGTAGGATGGAAATGTTTTTTTGTTTTGTGTGAGGTGGCGAAGCCAGCCTGCATCACTTCCCTGTTTCCTCTCCTCATAGGAGGCGACATATCCAGACGCTGAGTTGAGTTTGTGGCTCGAGTGTGTGCTTGTGCGCGTGAATGAGTGTGTGTCACATAGAGTGGGAACAGTCTGAACCCCATGCTGAGCGAAGCAGCATTCTGACAGCCAGCTCTGTGATAAATGGATGTTTCCAGGACGAGCAGATGGATGGACAGACGAGCGGCTCTTGAAGGACTCACTGCGCCGCGTAGTTTCAGTCGTAGTTTCAGGTTCTTGCTCTGCAGCTTCTTCTGCCTGTACAGTCTTTTCTACTGTGTGTTTATAGTTTGATCCAAGTTTGACCTGTTTACGCATTAAGAGATGTTTATGATTTCCTTATGTCTGCTGTCAGTCTTCTTGTTTCCAACTGTTGAGCTTATCAATAAAAAATGTTTATTCTGGAGTTATTCTCCGTGTCGTCCGTTTTTCATTGATTGTCATGACCAGTCACTGACATGAGGAAATCTAAAATAATGAGTGACTCAGCATTTTCTCATTTACTAATAGGTAGTGTATTGTGGATTGTAGAGGTGAAGAACACAGAAAAAAAACAAGAACGAAAAAACAAAGTAGAACAAGAGGAAGCCACCATGATGGAGGTAGCAGGGAGGAGAGCAGGAAGTGATAGGAGGATCTGACCAATGAGAAGCCAGATATGTCCATGACAAAACAGTCTTTTTGTCTGAACCGTCTTTCATTAAGTGCATCTAAACTTTTCCTCCTTTTCATAAATTTGAATTTGCATTATTTCATTCATCCTGACTGAACTGGTTTAACCGAGTTTACAGGCTGCCTTGCTCACGCACAGACCTTTAAGCTCTAACTACAAAGTTTCCATTGAACTGAGATCAGGGCTTCATGGTGACCGCTGCAGAACAGTCACTTTTTTTGTTAGATTTTTTTTCTGTTGTTCTTTAGCCACTTTGTAGCTAATTTGTTGATGTTCTCGGTTAGAATCTACATGTTGAAAGCCTCTTTTGTCCTTCAACTTTCTGGCTAATGTCTTGAGATTCTTCTTCAAAATTTTTACGTACGTTTTTTTTTTTTTTGCATCTATAAATTGAGGTGCACTTATCCCCCTCGCAGCACAGTACCTGCACTTCACCTCACACACTGCGCTGTAGGATTTGTCAGTGTGCCAGTCTGCTGGTGTTCTGAGGTAACAGAAGCTTTGCAAAAATGTTGATGCCCATAAAAAGATGTTCTTGCTATTTTCCTTCTGAGATGATTGTGACCTCAGGATCAACGTAATGTAACAGGGTGACATTTGAAGCTGACTGAAAGCAGTGTGAACCCAACCCAGAGCCTGAACATAAACAATGATGTCATCAGTATACAGATGGAATTAATAAGCCATGCTCTGAGCGGCGATATGTTCACGTTTAGACTTTTATTATCATCATATCTTTGATTATTTCCTGATATCTGAATAGTTCAGTTCATTCTTGTTTGTGTTTTTGATTTGTTTCATTAGATTTGTGTTTCTTTCTGTTTGCTGTTTCTATAGGTTTATTTCTCATTCTCTTTGCTTTTCTTCCCCCTCAGCTTGTTTTTCTTCTCTCCCTCCCAGCTGTTAATCATTTACCTCTACCTGCTCCCTTCCCCAGCTGCATCCATTCGCCTGTAATTAGCTCTTCTGGTTCCTTTTGTCAGCGTTTAAGCTCTCTTTCTTGACTCACTAGATCAATCCGTCTGCTGTGCTCTTCCTGGTCTTTCATTTTGGTGCTCCTGTGATTCTTCTCAGCTCTTGCAGGGTGTCCAAAGTGCGGCATGAGGGACATCCGTTGCCCCTTGGCTGTTTTGCATGGCCAGATATGGATACTTTTGACTTTATTTTGGCCCACATGACAAAGTTTGGACACCACAGTCCTGTGTTGTTGTAGCATCATTGCAACTTGCTTTTTAGTTTATTATTTAATATCCACCACCAAACTTAATTCCCTTTATTTCTGACTTTAACTCCAACCTCATCGCAAGCAGTGGAAGCTTAACCAACTTTCTGATTAATTCAGATAATTACGTGTAGGAAAGCACTAGATAAGAGAGACTTGAGCAATAAATAAAAATAAAATCCATATTTTTTCTTTCTGCATCATAGTTTTTGATTTTTTTTAACAGTCTTTAAAAGGCCAAGACCAAAATAGATTAGTCTCCTGTCTGAATCCCATTTTTTGTCCATTGATGTTCAACTTAATCTGCTGTTTTTGTTCTCCACTTATGAAAGTTGGCAGCTTTAAGAATTTTTATGTGGATAATAAATGTAGCAAGAGCACATCAAGGATCTGTGGTGACCGTTTCTCATGTGTGCAGACAAAATAAACAAGCGTTACAACCTTGGATGCTTCCATTCTTTGAAAATAAACCATATTTTTCTTTTCCTCCTCGTTTTCTCTCTCCTCCTCCATCCTTCCCTCCCTGCTTTTCCTCTTTTTCTGACTAAATAAGGGAGTTGGAAGGAGGGAAAGTTGTTCAGCCGCTGTAACAGGATCACCAACTGATGCATTTTTAATGTCACACTTTGATGGATGGGTCTTTCTGCCTGGCAGTAGTTCGTCACGATCCGTCAGTCCTTCCGAGTCCGATCACAGGAGTGAAAACAGAATAAACAAAAGGAATAGACTAAGATACTGTGTGTGTGTGTGTGTGTGTGTGTGTGTGTGTGTGTGTGTGTGTGTGTGTGTGTGTGTGTGGAGGTGGGGGGGGGGGGGGGGATGTGCGCGTGTGTGTTAACATCTGAGTGAGATACACGGTGCACGGAAGGGAACGCAGAACCGTTTCATTCCGTCAATGCGCCTCATCCAAACGCACGGCAATAATTTCCCACTTTACTTGAACGCATCATCTCCAGCATGACGGAAGGGGGGAACCCCGACGGTGTGACGTAGCTCAGCAGGCTGAGTGGTGAATCCCAGTCCAGCCCCCGATGAAAGCAGGTTAAAGCCGCGCCACAGCCGCTTTTCCACAAAACCCGCAATAAAACCACAAAAAACGATCTGGCGCAACGGAGAAGGAGACGTTTCGTTTTTGCGCAGGTGCTTTATTTTTTTTCTCCCTTAATTTTCGTGAACGATAAAAACCTTTTCTTTTCCCCCTCTACATTTGAGAGCATGCATGGCACAGATCGGGGCAGTACAATAGAGGGGACAAACCGGGGAGGTGGCTTGTGCGTAAACTGCATTCTTTGCGGCTTCAAGAAAGAAGGCAGGTGACGCTGGGGAACACCTGGTAACGTCAGGCGTCCGTCTAAAACCTGCTGCTCCAGGTGGTGGAGGAGGAATCCGTCCTGTCTGATCTGCCGGGCAGCTGCGCCACCCCGGGCCTTCAGTCCCACCTGAGGGGGCTTCAGATCTGGCCTCTTTCAGAGAATTTTCTATCATTGCAAAGCTGCATGATGACACTCGATAGCGGTTATAATGAATTTCTGTAGTTTTGTTTGGGTCCTGAGACAGGACAGGTGAGCGCGCGCGTGGCTTCCTGTCCATTACCAAAGGTGTGGTGGGCTCCGCTCGGACGCGCAAAGGGTTAAAAAAAAGAGGCGCAGCTAGTCGCCAGGGGAGCTGAAGTCATCCGGCAGCGCGCACAGCTAGGAGGAGGAGAGATCCACAGAACACCTTATAAATACACACGCACGCACACACACACACACACACACACACACACACACACACATGCAGGACGATTCAAGCTGTCAACCCGCGCGCAGCTGTTTTCCTTTCATGATCACTCCGCTCTTTTTTCCCCCTCTGCAGCCAAACACCAGGAGCTTCAGAGGCAAAACAAAGAGAAGAAAGAGGAGGTGGAGTGAGAGAGAAATAAATAGAAACGCGCAGCCCAGCGCCTCCAACTATGGCTCCAACGGTGATCATCAGAGAACTCGCCCAGTCCGCCTCCAAGCAGCGGGCTGACGCGCAGGATGAGCGCCGCGCTGCGCTCCTCCGGGTGTGAGAGAAGCATCGGCGGACCAGACACGGACAGCCGCCCCGCTCCCAGCCTGGAGGCTGGAAGCCGCCCGATCCTCCGCGCGTTACAGCGCGCCTCCGTTCCAGAACTCTCTGATTTTTATTATTTTTATTGTATATTTTTGTTTACTCCCAAAACCTTCAGGAGTCAGAGTCCACCAGAACACCCGGGAAACTTTCCCCCCCTTCTCCCTCCATCCTGATCGGCTGCCAGTGTGGAGGGGAGCGCGGTGAGCAAAGCGCGCTCAGCGGGGCTTGAAGAGCCAAACTCGGTGTGATCTTGTCCAAAGAACCCGGAAAGTCTTTAAAAGTCCCGGCGGCCACCGCTGCGAAGATGCCGGTCCGGAGGGGCCATGTGGCCCCGCAGAACACCTTCCTGGATACTATCATCAGGAAATTTGACAGTCAAAGTAAGAGCAGAGTTTTCATCTAATTCCTTTTTTTTCTTTCCCTCACTATTGATGAATGAATAGAGCTAATCATTTATTTGCTGGTTGTTTCAACAAGCTGTTGGCTGATGAGGCTCCACTGGAGAGAAATCACAGATACATGTATTCAGTTTTACGTAAACGGGTAATAAAATAAAAATCACTTTTCCTTTAGAGTTGATAACTATTTAAAATGATTGTAGCGCAAATACATTTAATTAATCATAAATAAAGTAAGTGAATTCATGAATGAGAGCGGAAACATCCTGGTTTTGTGAAGCGGTTTTCACAATAATTGCACTTTGGATCTAAACAGATCTAATCAGGTTCCTTTTGCTGTTCGGTGACTGATGGAGCCTCATGTTGAGCTTTCCCCACAGCCAACTTTACAGAGGATTAAAACAGGTGTGTGTGTGTGTGTGTGTGGGGGGTGTGTGTGTGTGTGTGTGTGTGTGTGGTGGTGTGTGTGTGTGTGTGTGTGTGTGTGTGTGTGTGTGTGTGTGTGTGTGTGTGTGTGTGTCTGAGCTTAAGCAGAAATCCTCTGGGTGCGTGGCTGCTTCTCTTCAGCCCGCCGGACCCTGTTGTCGTGTGTTTACCTGATCCCAGTAGTTTACGTTCGGCCTCTCTGGATGAAAAGCTCATTTCCGGTGACTGATTTATTCCAGCTCACTCGGTAAAGTTTATTGCTTTCAGTTTTCCGTCCTGACGCGTCAAAGTCACCTGGTGGGCCTGCGGGTTTCCCTTCCTCAACATCCCCACTTTGCTCCACAGTTGGAGCTGCAGCTCATGTAAAAGCATCAGTTGAATAAACTGTCTGTATTTTGCTTAATAATCTTTTCCATTGTGGCGACATATATGTTCTGTAGGAACATCCATCTGGATCTCATGATACAAAGTTGAAATTCTCTCTATTATTCCAACCAATAGAATCAATGACTTATTTTCACTGGAGGCAAAACATCCCCACATCATGATGCTACTGCTACCATGTTTGACAGCAGAAACATGGCTTGCCGCTCTTCCTGTCATTATGTTCAAACAGCTCAATATTTATTATACTTACTTTGACTAGTCCACATCAGCACATTTGACCTTAAAGTGTTGATTTTCTTTTCTTTTCACATGAATAAGATAATGTTTCTCAATTAGATAAAGTGACACTAGTGTTTCCAGCATGATTTATTTTCACCCGGATGGTCACTGTTGGAGTCAGGTGGTTGAAACCTTAAAAAAAAATTAGGTTTTCCATTGAGACAGCAGCAAGCAAACATTAACTCTTGGAGTGAGACGCAGCTCCTCCTCAGAGCTTCAGCTTCCAAGCTTCTGCTTCCCCCTTCAGACTAGTCAGCAGCAGTTAGCAAACACCAGGTGGCACTGCGCATCAGCTGAGCTCATTGTTGGAACTACTCGTCAATAAAAAGTTGTTTAAAAACGTTGCTAAAGAGCTAATAGAGGAGCCATTTTGTGAACACTTCCTGAAGGCGTAGTTTCAGAAAGAGCAGCAGTTTCTTAAAAAGACAGTGGCCCAATTTTAAGGCATTAAATTATGAAGGTCCATTTTTTTTAAGTCATATTTGATGTATCAGACATTTTCATAACAACTGACGGTAACATATTTGCTTGATAGCATCATTTTATCGCACAATGTGTCTGGAAGATTCACATTTTATAATGTTATTCATTTAAAAAATCTAAATAAATAGAAAATTCACATAACAATGAATGCATAAAACACTATTGCTGCTTATACCATAGAAATACAAAGACTATGTATATTTAATTTAATTCACTGTATTTGAGCTGAGAAATTACAGATAAATATAACACTTTGTTTTTTTAGTCTTAGTTTAATGTTTATGTAAAGAAACACAAAGACAAAAAAGTTGAATGAGTTCAAATATCATAAGAAACCATTTTTCAGACAGTGTTCAGACGATGACGTTCAGTAGCTAGTATCAGTTTTGACCCGAAGCCGCGACTGCATGTCATGCTACTGTCTTTACTGATGCTGCGTGTCATGCTACTGTCTTTACTGATGCTGCGTGTCATGCTACTGTCTTTACTGATGCTGCGTGTCATGCTACTGTCTTTACTGATGCTGCGTGTCATGCTACTGTCTTTACTGATGCTGCGTGTCATGCTACTGTCTTTACTGATGCTGCGTGTCATGCTACTGTCTTTACTGATGCTGCGTGTCATGCTACTGTCTTTACTGATGCTGCGTGTCATGCTACTGTCTTTACTGATAGTTAAAGAAGCAATCTGCTGAATATTAAAATGCTACCGGGCACAGATTCAATTATTTCTGCTTCATTAATTGCATAAAACATGTTTAGCTAACAGACTTTTTAAAAATGTATTTGTTTTTTGTTGTTTTTTTTACACTTTCTTCTCTTCGCCTTGACAAAAAGATCTATAAGCTTCAGATGGAGACAGTACGGTGGCGGGGAAGCTGTTTTTCTGAGCTGCTTACTTTGCAGAAAGTCCCTGGAGGTGTGGAGTTAAAGGTCGTCTCCGTTCCGGCGTGCACAGGTGTCACCCCTCCTCACGTTCCTGCGGCGTGGATGCAAATTATTCATGTTGTTTCCATCTCTGGACTCGTGAGCGGACTGGGAACGTGGCGGAGCGGGCCCCGAAGGCACGTTTCCTCCATTAGCTCAGCTCATGAAGAAGATGAGGTCAATGAGGGCGGCAGCTTGAGGGAGGGGAAAGTGAAGCGTGCGCATCAATAAAAGCACATCTAATACACGATTTCATGGCCAGGGTCGAGGGTGTCGGGGTCCTCGGATGAAATGTGCATGATTTGACTGGGACATCTCCAGAAGGAGCCTCCTTCATGACTGTTGTACTCTAGCAGCTCAGTGGTTGAGCTGTTTAGATTCGTCTCTCTGCGTTAAAGACTCGCTTTCAACAAAGTGCTTTCAACAAGGCGTCACAAGTGACAAGCCTTCTTTCCTTTCCATCAAAGCTGCTGCATGAGTGCAGTCAAGTTGAATAATTCACATTAATCCTGCTGTGTTAATATTTCCTTCATTCTGGATAACTCTGTAAAGGTGAACATTTTCTGCTGCTCACCGGAACACTGCGGAGCCACTGAACTGTGATCAGATTTTCAGCAGGAAGGTTTCTCTGTAACAGGTTGTTACTTATTGAGAGTTCCACAGTTCCACATCCTGTTTCCAGAAAGAATACTTTGGGGAAAAAAAAAGACAAAAGTACATGTCACCTCAATGTCTGTTGTTCAGGGCTTGACGGGCAGCAGGCCTCTCTCCCCATTCAGTTCCTAAGGAACTCGTGTGATGAGGCGACCATTGCTTGCCGTCTCCACCCAACCAACCAGGGAAATTTGGACGTGTGAATTTTTGAGCTCAGAGACGTGCACATGCCGGCTTGCGATATGACGCGAGAAAGCTTTTGTCTTTCTCGCCCCCAACACCCGAGTGGTGGAGATCTTCGCCTGTCGCTGTCATTCGTTGCAACTCATGTGTTGAGTCCATTTCACGGTGTGCGCCGCTGTGGAGGGGTTTCCCTGTAGCTTTTTTATGGCTTCTGAGGCACAGAAGTCACGGGTCAAATCTTTGTGAAGAGATTAGAATACACATATTCAAATTTCTTCACGGTATCAAGGTGGAGTCATGCAATTCTGAGGTCATTGTTCTCAACCACAACAAGATGGACTGTTCTATCAACAGGCAATGTCTGAGAAGGTCAAGCACCTAGTTGTTCATGAGTGATGGCAGAGCAGAGTGAAACACCAACAGGCTTCATCTGCTGTTGTGCAGATGTTCGCTCTGTAACAGACAAAGAACTGAGCCATGAAGACTAGAAGAAGACATCAACCAACCTGGCAGGAAACAACTTAAATGAGATTAAAACTAGATTAGCATCTGCTGCCAAAATTATCACGTCATTTTGTGTAACCTTCTCAAGGAAAATATTTTAAAGCTCAATGTTACTTAAAGGTCCAGTGGATTTTTTCATTGTTTCCAAATGAGACAAAAAAAAGTAACTCAAATGTCAAGTTTTTAATTAGAGCATGCTTAGAGTGTAAAGCCGGCCGGCCGAGTGTTTTAACAGGAGGCTGTGCTGCTGACCGTGCGTCGTCTCAATTCCTCTCAGGAAGAGATGTACCATGGACTTTAAAGGTCCTTTTTCTCAGTGATCACTCACTTCCCAGGCAGATGGCTCATCCAGGAGCAACGAGCTGCAAAGATATAAACAAGAAGCACAACTATCCCCTGATCTGAATCATATCTATTTCTAACTAAAAGAAGAAAAAAAAACTCAAGACGGAGACTGAAGTTTATTTATTGATTCCCGTATCAGTGTTGTGGATCTAGTCATGGTTCAGGTAACAAGACTTTCCAGCAAATGTATTTTTAATGCATTACACTGCAGCCTCTACATTTTGGATTATGTGTTGATGTTGTGAAGTCTGTCGGCGCACACAGAGAGACGCTCGCTGCTTTAACCCGAAACCCCACAGACGTCTCTGTGTAGATCGTACGCTTAAGGTTGATTGGTAAAATTGATTGCTTAAATTGATCTTGGGGGTGTTGGTAGTGTGTCTTTTTGTTGGCTCTGTGATGAGTTGGTCAACCCGCCACCATATGTCCTTTATCGCATGGATTCCACTCCCAATGAGACCTTGGGTGTGAAAGGGGAGCACAGGAAATGACAAAGTGCCTCCTTAGAGGAAAAATGAGCATGACAATAACAAAAACCCACAGCACATCACCAACTAAAAAGTTAATGCATCCGATAGTTCAGACGGTCATGTTGCATTTATCCAACTGTTACGGCATCAGTGTGAGGCGTGTCATAATTCTGAGGCGGTAAATCTGGATGAATGGATGGCTCAAAATAATAATAAAAAACTTATGAAAGAGGTATACTGTATGTTGATGATTGTTACAACACAATCCTACCACTGTTGGTTTTGACTTTGCAGACTTCTTTACATATGTTGCAGTCAACAGTTG